TAAAAATGTAAAAGTAAAGTTTAAAAAAAAGTGGGAAACAGAGCAGAAGGAAAGGAAGGAGAAGAGGGAGAGGTGAGGAAAGGGGAGAGAAAATGAGAGAAGGAGCAGGAAGAGGGGCGTGTGGGAACTGCACCCACTGAGAAGGATGTCAAAAAGACTTCTTGGAAAAAGGACATCAGAGCCTCACCTGAAATATCTGTTTCTGCATATTTCTGCCCCATGTGGTTCCTATTCCTGTGGCATTTTAACCAAGGATTCTTCAAAAAGAGCAGCAAGACAGGAGAGACTTCACTGAGCAAGCATTTTTCACATCTCTGGGTTTCCGATGTTTACTATTGTCCCATTGGCCAAATCAAATCACATGGGTGACACAGGGAAACCCAGAGTCAGTGCAGGTGGGCACACCAAAGGGTGTGGATCACAGGGGCAGGAGCAACTGGGGCCTTTATGACAACCTGACATATGACCTCCGTAGATCCCTTAGAATTTTGTGCAAGATGTTAACAGCAAATAAAGAAAGCTCTACTTCTTTTCTAATCCATTGTGTGTGGTTTTTTTTTTGTCTTATTTACTGGTTAGGAACTACAGACAATATTGAATAGAAATGGTAAGAACACACATTCCTGTCTTGTTCCTGACCCTAGGAGAACACACTGTTTTACCTTCAGGTATGACATTAGCTGTGGGTTTTTACAGAAGCACCTTCTAAATGCTCATTAGGAATGGGTGACAAGTTCTCTCGAGTGTTTTGACTGCATCTGTCAAGATGATCGTATGGTTCTTCCTTAAATCAGTTAACAAGGTGGAATTCACTGTTTGGATTTTAAGTAGTAAATCAAAATTGCATTTCTAGGATAATAATCTTTATTTAATTAAAAAAATTACAAATTAAAAAAAAATTGTTTGCCTGTGTTCTGACATGCAGGTAAGTGACTTGCAAATCAGCTTGATACTTTTGAGGCTTTTCAGTTTTGTTATGATGGGTCCAGAACAGTGTTTATTATGAGACTAATTCATCCTTATTGTTAAAAGTGTGACTTATATAAGGAATTTCCCCAATATCCTGTGTAATAAGTCTTCCCAAACTGGCTGATGGGAATACAAACTTTCCCAGGCCGGAATGGGCTCCAGGAACTCAGCCTCCTGCTTTCTGCTTTTTTTTTTTCCCTTACCTTTGGGTAGACTTTTCTCAGGCACACACAGATAAATCCTCAGCCAGGCTCCTGGGGGCTCTCTGCAGACTTCCAGAAACACTCTTCTCTGTACTTCTCTGTGTCTGCACCTCTTTCTCTCTCTCCACCCCTCAGTACAATTTGCCCTTCTCTGCACTTGATCTTAGCCAGAAGGCCGAGAAGCGGTCCTGCCCTTCTCTGATCCTCTGTCTGCTGAATCCCAGCTGTCCTGGCCCACCAGCCTCCAAGAGCTGTCTTCAGTTCACTAGGAACCTGGGACCTCTTTGGGCCTGTCTTCCTTCAGTGCGGCCCTGACACAGGCCTGCTCTCAGAGATCACAGCCATGAGTAGCCTGTTGTCTAAAGGCTGAGAACTACTGGTCCGTAGACTTTTTTCCGGGACTCTAGTTTTCTTCTGGTAGGAGTACAATTCCTATAGCATTTGGTCATGCATGAGCAATAGCAGAAATCATATCTGATCTCAAGAAACAGTATGACAGCTCATTTAAATTTAGTTATCAAATAAGTAGGCAGAATCTATCTGGCATCGCCAGTAACTATTTAGAATGTCCAGGGCCTCTTTTTTCTTCATCTGTAAAATATGTTTGTAATGAGATGAGATGTAGTAAGTCAAAGGATACTGAATAAGCATGCCATCATACTTTATCCTCAGTTGTCCATAATTAGGCTTCCCACTGTAGTCCCTTTTGCTGCTTGTAAAAATGCCAGCATCTGTGTTTTCCTTTATTGAGAAAAATCAGATTCCACTGACCAGTATCAGGCTTATGCATTCATAGTGATTTGTCTAACACAGAGGAGAGACTCTGCCTCTCCCTACTCTTGTCTCTGATAAAACTCTGGAGAAAGTCTACCAGTATTGCCACCTGTGACCAAGAGCCTGGCAGAGAAAACTCTCTGTAGGGCCTCAGCTTCACTGTGCAGTGTGCCAGTCAAGTACGTCCAGCCACTGGCATGTGCACAACTGTAAATCTTCACAGCACTAGACATTTTTATACTATTGGGCACCCAATGACTTCTATGTAGTGACTTCCATCTGTGCTTTCTGTTTGGGGATGTAAACTCCCAGAAGACAGAATTTTAGGAGTTAGGGCCCAGGGCATGCAAAATATAATGTGACTGTGTAGTGCAGTGCAGGAGAGAGCTCATGATACACTTGCTGGAACCTAATTTTTATGCTAGGTTTCCTAACTTCTAACCCTTAAGTGGAATAACAATACAACAAAAATAAAATAAAACAGAAATTAAATGGTGATGTAGCTAATAAGTCATTTAGCCTGACTGTTTAATCTACATCTACTTTTTGAACTCAGAATAATTCAAGTAATGGTATGGAATTACTTATTGTTAGAAAATTCCATTAAAATGGAAAATAGTATTTACTATAGGTTTGATATAAAAATTCATCATTTAGCACAAATAGTGTGTTATATTTCCACAGGTACAAATTTTCTACCAGGAGGTTTAACAGGACATGGAATTACACACACACATACACAGACAGACACAAAGATAGAGAAATCTGAATATATATTAAATGGAATGGGTTTAGGTAGAGTACAACAATTTTTACCTGGCTTAAAAGTATGAAAATATTGTACAGGCGTGAAGTTAAAGAGATTTCAAATACATCATCAAAATACATTGGGAGCAAATTTCACATACTTACTCTAGAATGACCTACCATGACTAGCAACCATGTGTGGCAGCAACAAGGCCCTAAAGACGTATTTGTGGGGCCGGCGTGGACACAGATGATGGACTCAGATAAACTTCCCAGACACAAACAGTGCACTTCTGCACACCATCAGGGAGAGATGGGGAGAGCTTACCAAGTTGTACAAGCTGATGCACCAACGGTCAATTATAATCTGCCCAGAAAATCCATTCATGAAGGCGAACCAAAGCTGAAAGAGAAGGAAGCCAAGAGAACCACTCAATTAGTGCTGACCTAAACACACCCTCGTAGTTTAAAAAGTGGCGCAGAAACAGAAACAGACTTGTAGACATACTAAACAATCTTATGATTACTGGGGAAAGGGGGTGGGAAGGGATAAATTCGGGTGTTTGAGATTTACAAATGTTAGCCACTATATATAAAAATAGATTTTTAAAAAGTTTCTTCTGCATAGCACAGGGAACTATGTTCAATATCTTGTAATAACTTTTAATGGAAAAGAACATGAAAATGAACATATGTACCTATATGCATGACTGGGACATGGTGCTGTACATCAGAAACTGACACATTGTAGCTGACTGTACTTCAATAAGAAAAACAGTGGCACAGAAGATGTTCACCTCGGCTGGAAGAACTAAGAGCTGCTGTGGGGCCACACAACTGTCCTTTCGTAAGTTATGAATTTCAGATATCACATATTACCGATACTGATGTACTTTGTTAATTAATGGCATACATATTTAGACCAAAATAGGCATTTCTTAGAAAAGGCCACTGGCAACTAATCTCAAATTGAGTAATAAGGGTTTATTGTATGTCTTCTATGCACACAGTTACCACAAATGTCCCTTTCCTGTCACAGTGCTCTAATAATAATAATAGCAAGCCCATACTGGGTACATATCATGTACAAGGCACTGTACTGTCCCTCTAAAGGCACTGTCATATTTAATCCTAACAGCAATAGCAAAAAGTAGATGTTATTACTACTTGTATCTAGATTTAGGAATTGTGAGGACTAAGGCTCAGAGAGGTTACGTTACTCAAGTCACACGCCAGTAAGTGGCAGAGACAGCTTTGGAGCCCAGAGCCATGAGATCCTCAGCCCACATTCATCCACTCATGTTAGGGTGACTTGTTAAAATGTATCATTAACCATAAGACCCTTCGTAGCATTCATACCATGAAAATAATCCTCTTTTACTACATTTCAGACTTCGGGATTATGAAGATATTAATCCCAATTCCATCTTTTCAACCATGAGAGACAGTCTTTACATGCACGCAATTTACAGTCAGGCGCGCCTGGGTTTGAATCCCAGGTCACTCACTTCCTCCCTCTCACTGCTGTGTGACCCTAGATGAGCGATTCAGCCTCTCTAAGCCTCAGTTTCTCATAGGACTTGCAAGTTTTACATAAGATAATACATAAAAAATGATCATCACAGTGAGTAACACATTGATACCATTGAATAAATGTTACTTTAGTGACTTAACTACATGTACAGACATACAATATAATTTTAAAAAACACATCTCGAATTCTTCCTAGAATGAATTGGAATTATCAACAAAATATATCTGTAAACTACAGCTCATGTTCTGAAGCAACTTGCAGTTCAATTAAATTGGTTAAAACATAACTATATGGAAACAGTCAGATGGTAACAAAATGCAGTTTACAATTAAGTACATTTTCAGAAGAATAAAGTCAAGGGTCACCATTAAGTACTAAAACTATGTTTTCTGCACCCAGTATACCCAAGTTGCTGAAAGACACAAATATTTCAATTCTAGTCCCAGTTCACAGAGTTAGCAGGTTAGCACCAGGTAATCCTAGACAAGATACGAATGTATGCCCCTCATTTGAAATAACATCTTTGACTACCACACATTTCTGAGATTTTGACAGCTTCTCCAAGTAGCCCAGGACTTGGCAAGACGTTTCCGGAAAGAATTTTGATGTGCCACTTGTACATGTGATTAGTTTTAGGTGCTATGATGGTTGATGCCACAGTCATTCTGAAACTTTACAACTCAACATCACTCTTTACTGAAGCAATGCATTATCAGGCAATTAGATCAACATATCTCACTGAAATCACTTATTTGATAGCGAAAGAACAATAACAAAGGACTAAATAGAAGTTTTAAAAGAAATGGACTGGCTTTCTTTAGCTCAAACCCTCAAGGTTGATTTCATTTACATTTTGGCAAAATCTCATTTGATGATATGAAGAAAAGAATGACCAAGTACAGTATTTTAAATACTTATAAAACTTACTTTTTCTCGATGTTATTTATTCAAAACATACATTATAGCTTTTCAACATAATATACAATCTGTCTTTCAAACTAGTTAATGCCATCCACCTCCAAAAATATAAGTACAGGACAATTCCTGAACATGTTAATGTCATTTTTTGATACCCTTCCAGTGGAAGCATATATATGCCCAGACAGAACTCCTGCAGAGGTCATATACAGCTAACTAGTAACAGCTTTCTGTAGAAATCACATTTTATTCTTTAAAGTATACGAGAAAATGCAACTAAATATATTTAAAAATGGGAAAGTCACAGTCCAGCTAGAGTTCACTCAGATTTGGTGAGTTGTTAGAAAGTTTTTCCAGGTGTGGCTGGCTTGCCAAGCTCCTCAGACTTTCCTCAAATAGAGTATTATTTATGAAAAATGGAACCAAAGTCATTAAATATTTTTTATTCCTCAGAAAAGGAAACTTGCTCACTCCACTTGTCATTGGACTGCCGAAAACGCAATAACAGGACTAGCAAAATCCTCAACAAAAGATTAGCAAATCACATCTATCAATGTATGAGAAGAACCATATACCACAACCAAGTCGATTTTATTCCAGACACACAAAACTGGTCCGATATTTGAAAATCAATCAATGGAACCCACATATGAACAAGCTAAGAATAAAAGTCGTGGTGATTACACCATTTGACAGGAAAAGCTCTGACAAAATCCAACACCAATTCATGATAAAAACTCTGAGCATTCTAGGAATTGAGCAGAATGTCCTCAACCTGATGAAGGGCGCACACCAAGAGGTGAAAAACCACTAAGATTAGGGACAAGGCAGGGATGTCCCCTCTCACCAGTCCTATTCAACATAGGGCTGGAAGTTTTGTCAGTGCAAAAAGTCAAGGAAAAGAAATAAAAGTCTTACAGGTTAGAAAGGAAGAGATAAAGCTGTTTCTTTTTGAAACTGATTTTATTTTATTCTTTTTTGTTGTTGCTGTTGGGGGAGGTAATTAAGTTTACTCATTTATATATTCTTGCAGGAAGTACTGGGGATTGAACCCAGGACCTCATGCATGTTAAGCATGTGCTCTACCACTTGAGCTATATCCTCTTTAATAGTGGCAAGAAACACATAAAATTCACCATCTTAACCACTTTTAAGTGTATAGTTCAGTCGTGTTAAGTTTATTCACATTGTTTGCATAACCAGCCGCCAGAAAGTTTTCATTACCCAAAACTTAAACTCTATACCCACTGAACAACTCCCCAGCCCCTGACAACCACCATTCTACTTTCTGACTCTGTAAATTTGACTCCTTATATATTTCATGTAAGTGGAATTGTACAGTTTTGTCTGTATGTGATTGGCTTATTTCACATACCACAATGTCCTCGAGGGTCACACACGTCAGCATGTTGGAATTTCCTTCCTTTTAAAGGCTGAGTCCTAGTCCATTGTGTGCATATATCCCAGTTCATTTATCCATTCATCTTTCATTGGACACTTGGGTTGCTTTCACTCTTGGCTCTCGTGAAAAGTGCTGCTGTGCCTATGGTGTGTAAATACCTCTTCAAGTCTTGCTTTCAGTTCTTTGGGTGGCATGCTCGGAAGTAGAATTGCTGATCACATGGTAATTCTGATTTTAATTGTGGGGGAGTTATCATACTGTTTTCCATAGCAGTTGCACCATTTTGCATTCTCACCTACTGTGTACAAGAGTTCCCACTTCTCAACATCCTCGCAAACACTTGTTATTTTCTGTTTTGGGCTATTTTTTCCCCCAATAGTAGCCATCCTAACAGGTCTGAGGTGGAGTACTACACAGCGATGAAAAGGGGAAATGATTGTGCAAGCAACAACTTGGATAGATCTGAAAGGAACTACACTGAGTGAAAAAAAAATCCAGTCTCAAAAAGTTACATAGTCTGTGACTGTACTTTAATAACATTCTTGCAAGTTACAAGGATAGAGAGCAGGTTAGTCACTGCCAGGGATTAGTGATGGGAGTGGGTGTGAAGGGGCAGCATGAGGAGACCCTGCGGTGACGTGGCAGGTTTGTAGCTTTTCCTGTAACGTGTCTATGTCCTGATTACTCTGGTGGTTATGAGTCTACACAGGGATAAAAGTGCACAGAGTGAAAGACACGTACACATACACACACATGTGTAAGGCTGATGGAATCTGAATAAGCTCTGGGAGTTGTACTGACAGCAATTTCCTGGTTTTCATTTTCTCCTGTGGTTTTATACAAGGTGTTATCTTTGGGGGCAACTGGATGATGAAGGGTTCACCAGATCTCCTGCAAATTTTTTTATAACTTCCTGTGAATCTATAATTATTTCAAAATAAAATGTTTAAAAATATATTTCCACAGCCAAATGTAAGGCTTACACAGGTATTTTTTAAGTCAGGATGGCCCTTAGAAGATTCAGTGCCATATCTTGGCTATTGCAAATAATGTGTCCATCAACAGACTGGATAAAGGAGGTGTGGTATATACATACAGTGGAATATAACTCAGCCACAAAAAAGAATGGAATTCTGCCATTTGCAACAACTTGGATGGACCTAGAGAACATCATGCTTAGTGCAATAAGTCAGACGGAGACACACAAATTCTCTATGTTATCACTACATGGAATCTAAAAAAATAACACAAATGAATGTATGTAACAAAACAGAAAGAGACACAGATACAGAGAACAAACTTGTGGTTACCAGCGGGAAGGACAATAGGGCAGTGGAATTAAGAGACACAAGCTGTCACGTATAAAATAAGCACGTATACTTGAAACTAATGTAATTTTGTAAATCAACTACATTTCAATTGAAACTAATACATGCTTACCTTTTAAATACATAAATAAGATGCATGCAAGCTCTATTGTACAGTAGAGGGAAATACAGCCATTATTCTGTAATAACGTTAAATGGAGTATAATCTGTACAAATGCTGAATCACGATGTTGTACACCTGAAACTAACACTGTGAGCCAACCATACCTCAGTAAAACCAAGAAGATTCACTCCCATATCCCTTATACACTGCACACTAGAGAAAGCATGCATTTTCAGAAGCAATAAAACATGACAAACTTCAGATCCCGTAAAAAAACGCAGCTATGGAACCGTCATTTGGTCCATTTTCAGGAGGAGGCGGCCCTGCTGCCGGGCTCCAGCCGGAGGAAGGGAGCCAGGGGCGAGGGGCGCGGCCGGCTGCAGTGCCAGGGCCACAGCCCAGCCGCCCCAGACGGGGGCAGGAGAGCAGGCCCGGGTTCGTGTCATTTTACTTTCCTGGTGTGGAAACAACGGCAGTGAAAAGGTTTCTTTTCCCACTTGCTTTAAACGCCAAAGCTCAGTACAGCCGAGACACAAAAGGCAGAGAAGGTGTCCGGAAGGACACAGCCCTTTCCATCCCTCAGTGAGGTGTTAGGAAGCCTTCTGATGAGATTTCCTGTCAGGAGAACAGTTAAAGAGCCCAGAGATTTCCAGGTCCTTTAATTACCAGGAGCTGGCAGAGATGCACTACAGTTTCAAACAGGGTATGTTTTTTTTTATCACAGACTATGTCAATAAGTCATCATAATGTCATAACATTTTTGCTTAACATAACATTTTTTACTCAATCAATTATATGCAGGCAAAAACTTAAAGCAGGATTATATACTGCCACCTTAAGTGAGATAAATACTAAAAAATACTGCACTATCAAGCTTTATGTCATAGACCTAGCTCCTCAAGGAAAGAAAGCGTATCTCCTTTCTTACCTCAATGATGTACAACACGACATTCTTGTAGAAACAGTACAATATGCATTTGGTCACTCGAAAATAATTCCAAGCTCCATGAACCAACAGCAGCTTCTCTAAGTAGCTAAACTAAAAGACAGAAATAATAGTAATGAAGATCAAAGGTACCTACTGCTTAGTGACAAAACCCACAAAATGTCCTTTTCCCAGAGTTTCACAGCTCAGCAGTTCTCGCCGTGGAGGATACCCATTCCTGGACAATCTGACTCAGCTGTTCACTATAAAGGAATTTCTTAAAGCTTTGTAAGATTAACTTCTCTTATCACTAAGAAGAATTAATCATCACTTTTCCTCCCCAGCAAATGCTGCCTGGATTTTCACTTGTCACATGCAAGGCTTTGAATTTAATCTGATCCACACCTGAGACCAGCTGGGACCTGGGACCTGGGATCTGGGACCTGCGACCTGGGACCTGGGACCTGGGACCTGGGACCTGGGACTGTGCTACAGTGCCTGCACCTGGACAAATGTCTCCTCCAGCAACAAGATACAAAGAAACTATAAGGGACTAAAAATAACTGTGAATTATGAACAAGATACAAGGAAACCAAAAACCCAACTGCCACTTTTGAGGTGTCAGGAGCACAAGCAGGTACTGCTCACGACCCCTGCACACAGCACCACCAGGGGGGCGGGCTGACCCTAAGCCACCCCTCCAGCCTGACCCCCTGGACCCACCCACCTTCACCCCATTTAAGGGCCCAGCCCGCCCCCACTCAGGGAGCGAGCAAGGGAACCTGTTACTTGTTCTCACTCCCTCCTGCTGCAGCACGAGTCCCAGTAAAGCCTTGCCTGCATTTCTCCAGCCTCTTGTCAACTTCTATTAAGGAGGCCAAGAATCCTGGTCACTAACACAACTAGGACCTTAGTCATGAGAAAGGGTCAGAATTATTTAATGAAAGGAACCTCACACTGGAAACAAGAACCTCAGTCACTGATTCTTCTGTCTGATCAGGTACATGTAAGAAAGTCTCACAGAAATCAGTCCCCCCATTTCCCACAGTAAATATACAGAAAGGAAAATTAAAACGTGCAAGGAGGAGACGTGGGATTTCTGCAGCACTCCCGAGCTGCCTTACCCTCGTCCACTTTGTCCTTCTCCACAGCACTTATCACCTTCAAACAAAGGACAGGCTTCATCTACTACTGTAATTACTGGTTTTTTTCTGTCTCCTAGAACGGAAACTATGAGAGCAGGGCTCACTGTTTACTCTGTGCCCTGAGGAGTCCCAGACACCCAGGAACGTGCCTAAGGTGTGGGGGGCACTCGACAAACATGTTTTGAATATTCAAGAGAGTTATTCCACAAAATGAGGCAACTCAGTAATTGAGTGGCTATGAAAATTAAACACCAACCTCAGAATGGCATAAGTTGGTACAGATGGAAAAAAAAAAAACAGCCTTTCAAAAAAGAATGCTTAAGAGTTTGGAACGTGAGGGTCAGTCTGGGAAGGGAGACGCAGAGTCATAAAATGCGTGGCTACTATGAAATCAGTGAATTCAAGAAGGATGGGGTTTTGCTTTCACCGAGAACTTGATATTACACGAGTCATTACAGACAACATTCCTAGTGCCTCAAATTTTCGCTTTGTGATGATTTATTTGCAGGGAGAAAAAAAAAGAAATTCTAAGTGAAAGCTGTATTTCTTGGGATGGCTTAAAAATATTAAGACGTTTGGGGAGGGGAAAGCAAAGAAGTCACTCTTTTCAGAGAATAAAAGGATCCAGGCTGTGAGCAGAATGACGCATAAACCAAGGGTGGACCCTGGGCTGTAGCCCATGAGAGGGCGGGGGCAGGTCGGGCGGAAATGGGGGGCTGTCCACTACGGCCCTGGGGTCAAGCCTCACTCTGGGAGAGGCTAAAACGGCCCATGCTCTGGCGGAATACCCTCTCCCTAGCTCCAGTCAGAGCTGCTCTCAGGTAAAAGCACAATAGGAAGAAAACTGATGGTGCTCGAAGTGTTATCATTAACCTGAAATAGCGTTTTCACAGGGGCCAAAGCATGAATCAACGGCACAAGGCTTAAAAGACATGGAGGGATTTTAAATGCCTATTACCAAGTGAAAGAAGCCAGTTCAGAAAGGCGACAATGTACTGCATGATTCCAACAATACGACATGATGGGAAAGGCAAAAACGATGGAAATGGAAGAGATCAGTGGTTTCCAAGGGTTGGGGCGAAGGGAGGGATGAGCAGAGGGGCACAGAGGAATCTGAGGGCTGTGAAGCTGCTCTGCGTGGCACTGCAGTGGTGGACACATGTCACCGCATCCTCGTCCAGACCCACCAAGAGTCAGTCCTACTGTAAACTATGACGCCGCTGTGTCAGTGCAGGTCCGCCCATTACCACGGGTGCACTGCTCTGGGGAGGACGCTGACAACAGGGCAGGCTGAGCGTGTGTGCCGGACGGGGGTACCCAGGACATATCTGTATGTGAAGCTAAAACTGCTGTGAAGCTAAAACTGCTCTAAAAAACAACTTCTATTTTCTTAAAATGCCTGCCAAGAGCCAGTGCCTCCTTTAAAAAGGGGGGGGGCACAGGAAGATTTTAAGTCTTCTCCTGGAGACACGAGAAAGCAAAGTGCATAGTGCGAACTGCAGACTGCGGAGACTGGGGTTTGGAGGCTGAATTAGCAGAGCTACCGATTCTGAGCGGCGGCAGCTTTGCCAGCTCCACAGCTGGCGGGGGGAAGCCTCCACTGCTGCAGATGCCTAGCGACACAATTAAAGAGAAGCCCACACGTGCTGGTGGCTTCTAACAGAAAGCAGCTTGGAGAGTAGGGTAGGCCTCAGGGGTGGACGCAAGGTCTTCAACACTCCACGCCAGCCGGCCACCCTGGCCACCCCGGCCGCGGACCTGTGCGATGGTGTAGTCCGAGTTGTTGGTGGCCAGCATGCCCTCGTTCCCGCTGATCCCCACCCCAACGTGGGCTGTCTGGATCATCCCGACGTCATTGGCCCCGTCCCCGATGGCCAGGGTGATGGCCTTTACATGCTTCTTAACCAAGTCCACTATTTCAGCCTTCTGGAGGGGAGATAATCTGAAAAAAGGACAGAAACAACCACTTTTAAGCGTTTTGTTTGGGTTCATGTTACTTTGCCCTGTTCTAGGAGGCTTTACGTAGGAGTCCACAGTAATCTACATACAGCCACATGTAAGTGACCGTTCCTGGTAAACTTCCCAATTCATTAATTCAGCTTTTTACAAGTATATGAAAGTTCCCACCTACCCCCACCAAAAACAAAAAGAAAAGCACGCACACACACACACACACACAAATCCCCAAATAATCAAAAAACACAAAACCACAGAGTAGCTGCTTTAACATCCCCAAAGAAATACACACTCCTGGCTGCCCAGTTTGCACGGAGATGCACAGTTCTGTTTTCCACTCTCCCCTCCAGCACCTGCTGCCTCACCCTGGGGGGCTGTGTTAACTTACATCTACATACACGAGAGGAAGAAGTGAAGGGCTACCATTTCTGAGACTGCATGAAGGCATTTACCCAAAGAGAGGAATGTAGAGGAGCCTTTGAAAATCAAACCACCCTCAAGTAAGCTTGAAAATACAAGGAGATAGAAAAACAAGAAGGTATCAGTCAGGAGAGTTGAGGTTATGCTGTGGTAACAACAAACCAAAGCTACGTGACTTAAACAAAGGTTGGTTCTTTCTCATGTTATGTGTCCAATGCAGACTAGGATACATCATTGATACTTTTTTTCCCCTGAGACAAGCTACAAAAGCAAATTTAATATGCCTAAAAAATTTCAGGATAGCAGACCCTGTCTACCCAGAAAATATTTACAAATATACCAAAGGAAGAGAAGCAAAACTTCCTCTCTTATGCATCACTCATTTATTCTTCACTCAGTACGTCAGACACACACTTCTATCAAAAATGAAAAGGGCACACAAAGATTTTATTTTCTTCACTTATCAATCTCCTCCAACAAAACAGCTCCTAAAAAACTAATTTAAACTTAACCTTTTCAAACTTCAGGTGAGATTATTAAAAATTGAGGAGATAGAGGTTTCTTTGATTAGAACATGCTCTAAATTTTAAGCCTGAAGCATAGTTGGAAAGAACTTTTGCTTCAGAATGAATAAAATATAATGAGTTGTAGATAGAATGTGAAAAGCTTCGAAGTAGAAGATATTAGGAACCATTTGTAAGTCTAGTTCCATCAAGAGATACTGGTCCTTTTACTGGAATACCTGCAACGTCAGTAACTTCACCATTTAGTGTGATGATTACTTTCATATTTAGACTCATAAATGCAGAGGGGAAAAAACTAACTCAACGTAATTAATCTCAAGTCTGATTCTTCATACTTTCAAATCTTAATCCATCCTTGTGGCAGCCAAGTTCTCCAGATATCAGGGACCAACCCAATAAGCCTCCCCTGCCCCTGGCTACACACCCTCAAGTCTCCAGTCACTGATCCATGTGGTTCTGCGCCCTTTACAAAGTTCCCAGTCAGTTTTCGACCAGCACTGAATGATCACTATTCTGATTCTGGATGCCCACCCATATATGAAAAGAAAGCCTAAAATAGTATTATTCTTTTAACAACTGTTAGCTGAGCTTCAATCAATCAAACATTTTAAGTCATGTTTGCACGTGTGAGCATTAAGCCAAGCGTCCCTAATCCTGGAGTTGTATGATTATACCCAATTGACAGTCTTCACATTCAAGTCTGGCAAAGTTCATCTTGTCATTCTATTGGCTGAAACAACATAGAAGTTCCACAAAATCTGAAGTAAGGGGAGAAGTCTACTTGGGATAGAAAAAAAAGTCACTATGCTATGTTTTTAAAAGCATGTATGTAATAAGAAAACATAATCCTAAAGCACAGTAGGAATTCAAAACAGACATCAAATAGCTAATTTCTACTCTTTTCAACTGAATAGACGTTATTATTTTCCAAAAAAAATAGGATTTCATATGTCAGTGACAACCAGAAGCCAATTCTCACTGTGGTTTTTAATCTATGACATGAAACCAAATGCCCAAGTGAACAATGATTTAGCAAGAGTGTATAATAGATCCAACCTATGAAACAAGTGCTTGAGACACCTTTGAACTGATAGAAGTATTTGTGGTACTGTGGCCACCTGTTATCATGGACTAAGAATATATAGAGATAAGTAAGCCTTTGACTGATTGGAATAATTTTACGGTTTTTCCATGGGCACAAACTATTCACTTCCTTATCAATAATCGGAGCTAGGAATAAGAAAGTGTTTTCTGTCTGAAATTTGTAAAATACATTTTACGGCACAGAAGTTTTCTTGAATACATAAAAAAGTTTTCTTGTTATGTTTATCCTTAGAATTTGCTGAGTAAGCTACTTAAAGGTAACTTCATATTCATTACTTACCATTCATTCAACAAATATTTGTGTACTTACCAAGAACTAGGTGTAATTCTTGATGCTGGTGATAGAGCAGAAAATAAAACACACGAACATTCCTGCCCTCATGAAGTCTACATTCCAGTGGTGAGACGTGTGAAGCAGAGTGGCCCTCTTTGATTGAGGGAGCATGTCCATCATAATTATGACTAATATGCTTTAATAACTGGCCCATTTAATATTTTATTGAGGAACAAGGAACAACTGTATAGTCTTATTATTTTCTCAGCTCCAGCCGTCTTTGTTGTAGATGAAGTGCTTTTTTTAAAAAATAAAACGTTTTTACTTGCACTACTTACTCAGAACTTCATTTTCCTCCAGGTGTCAGTGAAGTTTTTGAAATTTGCCCCTCACTGTAAATAAACTGAGGGCCTTTGTTCTAAACCGAAGGACTTCTTTCATTTGGCCAATACATCGATATACGATGTACCACTGAAAAATTATAAACTGCTTTTGAGTGAATCATAAACCTGACAGTTAGAATTAAATTCAGACCTTTCATTTCGGTTTGAGCATGTATTTTCCCAGTAAGGAACTTTGTCTCTGCAAAACTTATATGTTTATACCTATATTTTCTTTACATAAACAGGATCGAATACGGCAGGAGAAAACATAACAGTGAATACACTCTTACCGACAACATAGCACTGCCCTGCACGAGAGCGCCAGGCTGAGGAAGTTCTTCTTGACTTCTGAGTGGAGGGCGTGCTTCAATGTTTTACCGTCGATGATTAGGGCCAGGTCATTTTCTTTACCTAACAAGGTTCCAAGATCCTGGCAGCTCTGGTTAATCACTTCTTGTGTTGCCTAAAAGGGCAACAAAGGGGTGAGGGTAGGGAATCACTTTATTTTTATCATTTTAAATAGAAAGGGAAAGACTTTTGAGTCAAGGCGGTAGACTGAGGCATACATTTACCTCCTCCCCTTTGAAAATCTCACTGAGATGAAATTTGAAAGTACATAAATAACATGAAAAGATGCTTGGCATCATCAGTCATGAGGGATCAAATAAAAACCACAAGGAGACACCACTTCGCATCCACAAGCGCGACTCGATTAAGAAGGCAGATAATAACAAGTGTGGACGAGCTTCTGCAGGAATCAGAACTCACACACTGCTGGCGAGAATGAGAAACGGTGCAGCCACTTTGGAGGACAGCCTGGCAGCTCCTCAATTAAACACAGAGTTTTTGGATGACCCGGCAGTTCCACGCACTACCGTACGTACACTCCAGAGACACGAAAACATACGTCTACACAAAACCTTGTACCTGTTTACAGCAGTGTTATTCATAATTGCTCAAGGTGGACACAAGCTGATGAGTGGATAAATAAAACACAGTAAATCTATACAATGAAACACTCTTTAGCTATTAAAAAAGCTATGAAGTACGAACGCAGGGTACAACATGGGTGAACCTTGAAAACATTATGCTAAATAAAAGAAGCCAATCACTGAAGACTGCATGTTATACAATTTGATTAGCCTGAAAGTCCACAATGGGCAAGTCCATGGAAACAGAAAGTACATTAGCGCTGTTTAGGGTGGGGGGAAGGAGGGTGAGGGAGATGACAGCTAAGGGGTACAAAGTTTCTTTCAGAGATGATGAAAATGTTCTGAAACTGATTCCAGTGATGGCTGCGTGTGTCTGTAAATATATTAAAATCAATTGAATGACATACTTTAAACAGATGAATTTTATGCTGCGTAAATTATATTCCAATGAAGCTGTTTTTGGAAAAGTCTCAGAAAGTACGAGTGGATCCTTACCCAATTATATTGTAATTCCTAAGCAGCCACTAGAATAATGTAAAGCATTTGGCTAAATGGATTCAAATGGAATTCTAAAAAATATTCAAATAACCCTTTCCTCCTCTAAAAAAAGGTGGGGTAGAGAGGGAAGAAAAGAGTAACAAAAACAGAGCAGACAAGAAAAAAATTACAGGCCAACATCACTGATGAACATAGGTGCAAAAACCCTCAACAAAATATTAGCAAGCCGAATTCAACATTGAAAGGACCATCTGATCCAGCAATTCAACTTCTAGGTATATATCCAAAAGAATTAAAGTCCGGATCCTGAAGAGGTATCTGCACTCCAACATCCATAGCGACACTGTAGCCAAGATAACAGAAACAACCTAAATCCTAAATGTTATTTGATGGATGAATAAAGAAAATGTGATATATTATATATATATATATATAGTTATACAGATATAGACATATAGACACACACACACACACACACACACACACACGATAGACTGCTACTCACCCTTAAAAAAGAAGGAAATGACCCTGTGACATGCTGCAACACGAATGAACCCAGAGGCCGCTGTGCTAAGCAAAATAAGCCAGTCACAGAATGGCAAGTAGTGCACGACCCAATCTGTATAAAGTGTCTAGAAGTCAAGAATAGTCAAGCTCATAGAAGCAGGGAGAGAAATGACAGTTACACAGTCTTGGGGGGAGAGGAACCTGAGGAGCTGCTGAACAGGTATAAAGTTTCAGTTACACAAGATAAGCAAGTTCTAGAGCTCTGAGTACAAAACAGTGACTATACTTAACAGCACTGTATTGTACGCAGAAAGATTTGTTAAGAGGGTAAATCACAAGTTAAGTGTTCTTACTATTAAGGGGGGGGAGGCACGAGGAAACTTTTGGATATGTTTAGTACCTTGATTGTGATGATGGTTTCTTGTGTGTGTACATATGTTCAAGCCCATCAAGTTGCACACATTAAATATGTGCAGTTTTTTGTAAAAATTTACTAAATTTAAGATTATATATGCATATATATATATTATATATATATGCTCGACCTCTACACTAGGAACTGCAATAACACTTTCAGTACTGTTCATTCTGCTCAAAAACTTGAATACTGTCCATAGTACAAACTGAAATTATAAGATGAAGGTGAAAAGTTAGCCTATGGCACTTGGATTTCAGCAATGATATGTGAAGAACTTGGATTTGCCACTACCATTCTCATAGAAAAAAAATCTGAGCACACTGAAAATCAACTCTTCTTGGACCCATCAAGGAACTGAGGAGCAGAAGCTGGAGCCATAAACTAGGAGGAACACTTAAATGGTAATTTTGAGGAATTGTTGAAGGCTGAGTGTGGACTAGCACAAAAGTGAGAAATTCCCTAGGTTGCAATCTTGGGGGTGGCCCTCTCATTTTTGTGGATTTACCTCTAGGAACCTCACCAGGTTCTCAGAGTGAAAAGCCAAAAAAAAAAAAAAATTCCCCTCATGGCTCAGCAGGAGGAGAGGAAAAGTAACCCTTCTGAACTATGTCCAGAGCATCTGTATCACAAAAGCCTAGTTTCCGAGGTTAGAGCCTTTATCAGAGCCTTGTCCCACCTAGAAGGAAGGGCGCTCACTCAACTCCAGCTTCCTCCAGCTCCCTGTGTCACCTAAGGGGGGAGAGAAAGTTCTAAGAAACACTTATGAAGACACAAGGGCACAGGTTCACTTTAAGACTGAGGTTTATCATAAGACTATGAAACACTTCCCCTCCCACATACCTCGCCACCACGCCCAGAGCTCCAGGACAATCTGTGCGTTGCAGATGAAAGAACCGCAAGGCGTGTGCTCTGTTTAAGGGAGAGCTCTCAGGGAAGCCCAAAGACCACGACAGAGGAAAAGACAAGGTCACTGCAAGAATTTGGAACCTCTGATGCCTACAGCTACAGCAAAAATTAAATACAATTCACCTCCTTTAGTTGTATTAGCATAAAATTTCACATTAACGGCCTTTTACCTCAGTTCTTTTTACCAGATACACTGTGTCCAGCTTCCAACAAAAATTTACAAGACAAGCTAAAAGACAAGAAAAAGTACCTCTGAAGAGCCAAAGCAAGCATCACATCAGACTCAAAGATGTCACAGATTTTGGAAGTATCAGTGAATTTAAAACATTTTAAAGATTTTAATGGAAAAATTAGACACATAAAAGACCTGATGAGCAATATATGCAGACTGATGGAGATACTTAAGAAAGGATAAGAAGAAAATGCTAAAAGTAAAAAACACTGTAGCAGAATTGAAGAATGCCTTTTGTGGGTTCAGTAGGAGACTGGACACAGCTGAGGAAAGAATTAATGAGCTTGGAGATATACCAACAGAAACTTCCCAAACTGAAATACAAAGAGAAAAAGGAAAAAAAAAGAAAAAACCCAGAACAGAACATTCAAGAACTCTGGGGCAGTTTAAAAGGTCTAACATACAAGTAATCAGAATACTAGGAGAAGGAATAGAGAACAGAACAGAAGGAAAAGTCTAATGACTGAGAATCTTCCAAAATTAATGGCAGACACAAAAGCACAGACCTAGGAAGCCCAGAAAACACCAAGTAGGATAAATGCCAAAAATCGACACCTAGGCATATCATATTCAAACTGTATAAAACCGAAAACAAAGAGAAAATCTTGCAAGGATCCAGAGGGCTGGGGGAAACACCTTATCTGCAGAGGGAGAAAGATAAGGAACAGCAGACTTCTAGTCAGAACCCTTCCAGCCAAGAAGAGAGTGAAGTAATTACAGTACTGAAAGAACAAGAAATGCCAACCTAGAATTCTATATCCAGTGAAATCATCCTTCAGATGTGAAAGAGAAATAAAGGCTTTCTCAGACAAGTAAAAACTGAGGAAATTCACCACCTGCAGACTTGCTCTATAAGAAATATTTTTTAAGTTTTTAAGAATAATGATGTATGTCAGAAACTCAGATCTAGATTTAAAGAAAAGGAAGAGTGTCAGAAAAGGAATAAGTAAAATCTAAAATTCTTTTAAAAGGAGTCTAAGAAAATTACATAGTAAAAAAATATTTAACAGAAAATAAATACTACCATTTAACTTTTAAGGGCAAGGATATTCAATATGGGATTTCAAATTCCCTTTCATTTTTGCAATGTGAATGTCATCTGTCTTCTCAAACTTCTGATAGAGATGGCTATATAGACAGATTTTTTTTTCTCCTTTTTTTCCATTTTTCCAATCAAGGATCTAGTCCCGAATTCGGTATGACACCAGCAGGGTTATAAAGGACCAGCCTCAGAGTGGGGAGTAAGAGGGAACCAGAGGTGACAACAGAACTGAAAACCAATTGAATTTTCAGATTCTTGGGAAAGAACCTTGGGGAAAACCTAGACTTTCCAAAGGACTTGCGTGGGAGTTAAAGGCAATCTTATGTAGATTTTAAGGAGGTGGGTAACCCTCAAGTAACAAGTCGGTTACATTCAAATTAAATGTAATTTAAAAACATCACTTACCTCTAATGAATCTGTATTCAATTGAATACGAGGCATTTGACCTGATAACAGTTTACAGGAATATGCTACGAAGAGAGAAATAAAGATGTCACATATTTGAAGACTCAATGCCTTCCGTGAGCTCATTTTTTTAAAAATCTATTTATATTCTTCCTTTGTCATACTCTGCCTCGCAACTATTTCAGAGCCTAGTAGCTCGTCACAAAAGCAAGAGGTTGAAGAGAGAAAAGGAGTCAAAAAGTTAGTTCATCTAAGTCTTAATAGGCAACTTAAATAGAAATGGTCGGGAAGGTACGTATAACTAATGGCTACATCTGTACTTTTAAATGTTGGTGGACTTTTATTTGTATCTTTTTATGACATGAGCTCCAGTTCACGCTTTATAATAATTCCAAGTCCTTGAGGAAGCCAAGTTCTGGTGCATCAAATCACTGTATCAACAGTATTATACCTACTATACTAACATCATCCAAGGTGCAACTAAAATAAATATACATATGCAGTTCTTGTACATCTCAGGAAGCATTTTCCAATTTGAAAATTTTAAGTCGTATCACTCTTGAAATTAGACTGAGAAATAAGAATATATATACAGGATTAACTTAAGTGGGCCCAAATACAACCTGCACCTAGAAAAATGAAACTGTCTCTAAGACAGATGAACCTTTACCTCAAGGCTTGAGTCTTTATAAGAACAGACATTTTAAAGCTTTGTGACGCTGAGGAAACATCCAGACAGACATTTCAATAACTGGTCACTTTCTTTTCCTCCCAGAGGACCAAGGGGCCTCATTTGAAAGCTATTCGGTAAGTGAAGGAAACCAGCCCAGCTGCGGGAAACAATGGGCGGCTCTGCCCGTGGAGGGAGTCAGGACAGAGCTTCTCTCCCACCTCAGGTTCAGGTTTGTCTCTGAGGACTAACGGTCACCCTGAGGATGCACGTGTGTGCGCTCGGCTCTGCAGCTGTCCGTGCACCCTCCCCCTGTCCAGACAACGACCTCATGCTCTCTCCTGTCCCAGCAAATCTTCAACAGAGCCTCCCCAGCCTCCCTCTCAGCAAAATGAAAGTGTGGGCCCCTTGTTCAAAAAAATGCAGGAGGGAATGTCATCATAGATACTAAAATATGAAGGTTTTTTAAAAAATATTTTATACTTATAAAACATAACAGGTGTAATGGTGAAAAACAACATAAATTTATAAATTGCAAAACATTATATTTTTGGTGCCATAATTTTATATAAAACAAAAAAATAATATTTCACTAATGTGAAATATTGATTGATCATGATTTTTCTGCCTAAATTTTCTGTAAATTCACTTATTAAATCATCAAAATTTACTTTTAACAACTTTATTTTCGAACAGTATAACTGCCACAGTGTTAGTGGCTCTTGACAAATGAAAGATTGTGAGTCATTTTTTATTTTGGAACAGGATCTTTCTGCTGATAAAACTACTACCAGAGCTATTAAGAGTGTTTTATGGGCTATAAGAACTCTGATAAATTTCTGATAAATTATTTTGAAAATTGAATTTTTATACATTTATAACTGATGTTTCCTATGGAACAAATTTTCTAAAACGCTTTAACTCTTCATACAAATCAATTTCATGTAAGTTGGAATTTAAATATAAATTTATGCAATATCATTTTAATGTTCCCTCTGAAATTTCCTAAAACTTACAGCTGTCATACAAACTAACAGAAGTAGCTTCATGATTTGCATATAATTCAAAATGCCTATTTATGTATGTATTCTATTGTAATCTGTTCAATTACAAGGAGAAAATAATTTTTAAATGGTTTTCATTAATTATTGGTTTATCTAATGCTTCTTATGAACTCCACAGAATACGATGATCTTTAAATTAAATTTCTAGTTCAAAGCCTGTAGGTATCTGCTTTGCATTGTTGCACTGATTTTTCAAAACCAGAGATTCTAAACTTTTCAAAGAATTCTAATGACTTCTTGACATGTTTTATTGTAATGTCCATGTGTCCACTTATATTTTGTAATAGGTTACGGACAAAGTTAACTGCCTGAATGCCGGCAGCTCCTGTCCCAGAGATCAGGGTGGAGAGTGAGTATCTGTGTAGTGCTCAGGGACAGAAACCAGACACCGACGGGCAGCCAGCCTCCCCCGCGGGTCCTGGTGCTGCCCTGTGAGGGGCCTTCCTCTCTCCCTGAGCCACCGCTGCTTCTGCTGGCTGCACCTGAACAAAGCGCAAAAAGTCTCCATGTATGACCAAGAAAATGCAAATCGAATCAGTGTGCAAGTTCTGAGTGCTTACTCGCATCCAGCATTATACTGGGCGCAAAGGAATATTTACAAGAAATATGTGATAAACCTCTTAAAACCTAAGGAAATAAAGCTAACTCAGAAGAGAGCAAACCACATACATATTCACTGGGAAGCCAAAGGTAACAGTACGCATGCTCCTGAGGTCAAGAGGCGGCAGATAAGTGTTAAATCATATGATCAGAAAACTCTGCGGTTCTGCATCTGCAGATATAACTCACCCCAGCTCATGTCATCCTGTGGTATTTACTATCGAAAAAATATCCAAATATAAATGGACCCACGCAGTTCGAATTGTGCTGTTCAAGGGTCAGCCAGAGTCCCTCCCCCAGTTCCCCATCACATTCTGGTACAGGTCACCATCATCTTGTCTAGACTCCCACAAAGGCTTCCTGAGTGATCACCTGGCTTCCATGTAGTCTGGTTTCACACAATAGCCAGTGGATATTTTTGCAACATAAATTACATATTACTCTCCTGCTCAAAACCCTACACATTTCTTACTGTGGCCTAACAAGCTCTCATCTCCTCTTTTCTCTGCTCTGCCCCCTGTACTCCAACCACACTGGCCTTTCTATCATCCTCAAACATGACACGCACATTCCCACACCAGGACCATTGTGCTCACCATTCTCTTTGTCCAGAACCTTCCCAATGCTTGCTCCCTCTTTCCATTTGGGTCTCTGACTCAAATGTCACCTCCTTAACAAGTTTCTGTCCAATTACCCCTGTACCTGTGGCTATGCCTTGCTTTGTTTTCATTCTTAGCACTTACTGCAATAATATTACAACAGACAGTGATTTGCTTGCTAATTTTCTGTCTTGTCTACTTGGATGTAAGTTTCATGAGGAAAAGGACTTTATTACTCAATTTTTCATTCCAAGATCCTAGAATTTCCCAGCACATAGCGAGTGTTCAATATTCATTAAACGAATGAATGTAGAGTAAGTAAATTAGCAGCGACATCATTTAAAGGGTATCTGGTGCTTGTAGAATCATTTTATCATATGTGTTAATCTAATCAGAGCTGGCTGCCATGATGATCATCAAAAAATAGTAATTTCAATTCCTTCTTACCGTCAAAATTTACATATTCACAGCTAGGAGCTGATTTTTCAACTCCTTTCCCCTAACATACAATCAAACAGTGAAATTTTTTAAAAAACCATGAAGGCAAAGAAGTGACTTCGGAGCTTGGGAAAAAACACTGGCTGAATATTCTCACTAATAATCAGAATGTTCATGAATAAGAATATATAATTCAAATATAGATATATAAATCATTGGGGGGAAGTGCTAAGATAACATCAAGTGTCAAAAGAGGAACAAGAGATAACGTATTACTCAGCGGGGCATTCTACATTCCATGTTTCAAGATTTGCAGATACTAACTACCACATATAAAACATACACAGCAAGTTCATACTGTAGAGCACAGAGAACTATATTCAACATCTTGTAATAACCTATAATGAAAAAGTATATGAAAAGGAAGATATGTATGTATGTACATGTAGGACTGAAACATGATGCTGTGCACCAGAAACTGACACAACACTGTAAACTGACTATATTTCCATTTAAAAAATGTGAAGAAGAGAAAAAAGTTTTTGCTTTGCTTAGTTTGTTCAAATTCTCTGCCATCTGATGGCAAGATTACATTGCACTACATTTTTCCAGAGACACATAAAACAATTACTTATAAAACAGATTTTTAAAAAAGGTCCTACTGTTCAGCACAGGGAACTATAGTCAACATCTTATAATGGCCTATAATGAAAAAAATATGAAAAGAAATATATATATATATGTATAAATGAAGCACTATACTGTACACCACAAAGTAACACAGCATTGTAAATCAATTGTATCACAGTGTTTTAAAAAGTAACACAACTAATACCTGCAGCAAGCTCAGCCGTGCACTCCTGACCCTAGAACACATTGAGGGGACGCATGCACAACCAAGGAAAAGAACGTTCGCTGTGTCTCTCACCTATGTTAATGGCTGTTTCTTGTTTATCTCCTGTCAAGACCCATATTCTTATGTTTGCTTTCAATAAACTTGTTATCGTTTCTGGAACGCGTGCTTGAAGGCGATCTTCAATGGCTGTGGCTCCAAGTAGGAGGAACTTCTAGATGGTTTTTGAGAGAGGTATTTTCATTACCAATTGAAGATAAGAAATACTTTAAGATGGAATAAATAGAGCAAATTTTGGCCAAAGATATGCATCTAATAATTTATTATGCGAAGCCCCATATACATACACACACGCATGCACGCACACTTTCTAGCCTCTTCCACCGGTCTGTCTGTCCCTGTCTCGCTACAACATGAGGCAGTACAGCGTGATGGCTGAGAGCCAGGCTTTCAGATTAACCCCCGAGCTCTACAAGTTACTAGACACGTGATCATAAGCAGATTACTTACACTTGTGTTCCTCAGTTTCCTCATCTATAACTGGAGAACTGGGAAAGTAAGATTACTAACAATTACTCTGAGAGTTAGCATTTGGAAAGTGATTAGAATGACACCTAGTGTATTATAAATGGACCGTAAATATTATGTTATTCTAATTACTATAGCCTTAAGGTAAGTCTTGAAGTCTAGAGCAGTAAGTCCCCTTTATTATCCTTCTTCAAAAATTATCATGATAATTCTTTGCCCTCTCCTACTTTGGGTATGAGTTTTAGAACAAACTTGTCAAGTTCTGTGAAAATTCCACTGGGACTTTTATGTGCTCTTGCACTGCACTGAATTTATAGCTTACTTTGAGGAGAGCGCCACATTCATTACACTGGTTTTTCTGTATGTTACATACACTCTTCCACTTACATAGGTCCTTACTTCTGTCCTTAAGAAAAATTTCATAATTTTCTCCATAAATTTCTTACCACCAGGTGGTTTATTTCACAGTTTTTGTTCCTGTTGTGAAATATCTCCCTACCACTGGAGAGATTCAAACAGAGGCTTGATGGTACATAAAGAGGTTTATGTAAAGTATAAAGCCAGATGACCTCTGATAATTTGGGATATTGTTTCTCAGAAGCCAGCACAATCCCACAGTTCCAGGGCATTCTACATTGCTGGTAGGAGTTAAAGTGAAATAAAGATATAAGACAAGCTGATTCTGTGCTGATAACTAGAAATCAAATAATTTAATTGAAATACCATCACATATGAACTGTAAATTAAATCTTTAAAATAGCCATGAGGTTTTCAGTCTTCTTGCTAAGCTCAATTTTTTAAATGCTAAATATTCAAGTTCTATTGATACTGTTAGGCATCTCTCTTATTTCCATTACTCTGTTTTTGTGCCATTTGTGCTATGACATTTTCAAGATATTTCTACAGTAAAACTTTATATTTTAAGGTAAGATGTCCCACAACTAGCAAAAAGCATTTTTAACAATGATTTATGAAACATGAAACAGGTATGAAATGGCTTTTTTTAATAGAATGCTTTAAACCTTTTTATGATGAAAACACTCAGCTAACTAGGAACAGAAGGGATCTTCCTCAGCCTGACAGGGACACCTGTGAGGATCCACAGTTAACTTCACACTGAATGGAAGAGGACCAGATGCTTTCCAGCAAGATCAGGAACAAGATAAGGACGTCCACCAGTTCTATTCAACATCTTTTTCTTGCCTAGCCAGGGCAACTAGGCAAGGAAAAGAAATGAAGGGATCCAAAATGAAAACTCAGAGGTAAAACTATCTCTATTCACAGATGACATGATCTCGTATACAGAAAACCCTAAAGAATCCTCTTTAAAAATGATTGGAAAGCTTGCACATGAATGCCCACAGCAGCATTATTCATAATAGCCAAGTGGAACAACCCAAGTGTCCATCAAGGTTGAATGGATAAACAAACGGCACATCCACACAGTGGATTATTATTTGGCCTTGAAAAGGGATGAAGTACTGAAGCTGCTACAATATGGATGACTCCTGAAAACAGTAAGCTAAGAAAAAGAAGCATGTCACTGAAGGCCACATAGTGTATGATTCCATTTATATGAAACATCCGGAAGAAGAAAATATAGAGAGACTGAAAGTAACATAGTGGTTGCAAAGGGCTGGGGTTAGAGAATGGAGGGGGGATGGGTGTGGGTGGGGATAACAGACAGTGAACACTAATGGATGTGGGTTTGGAGGAGAGGATGTTGAAAATATTCTATGTTCATTATCGTGATGGTTGTAAAACTCTGTGAGTATACTAAAAAACACAATTGTTTAATTCAAATGGGTGAACTGTATGTTATGTGAATTATATCTCAATAAAGCTGTTTTTTTTTAAGGAAGGAATGCTTCAAAGGAATTGTAAAGCCAGAGAGCCTCAGAATCAAGTCTAAATCAATCAATCAATCAATCAATTCGTATTTTACCAAGAGAGCAATCCTGGTACCACAACAGTTAATCACTTTAGCAATTACACCCTAAGTTATGCTGTACTTGACTGCTGATTCAAGTGCACACATCGTCTTAACATTACTCAACAAGAAAAAAAGTTAAAATCTTATTAATCCCCAAAGGAAAATGCTTGAGGAGCAAAGAAGTGCTACTGGCCTCAAGAGCTAGAAAGCGGGTCAGAAAATAACCCCCCTAACTGAAAACAGGACCAGAACAATGCGCATGGAATTTCCAAGAGCCAACTTCACAGAGCTGGTTGATCTACGCTCTTTGGTGTCGGACTCCAACGCCCGTCTAAAAGTCTGCAGAAAGCAGCCATATAACTGTAGCTAACATGATTGTCGCAGTTTTAGCAGATGTTAACACACGTCATGAGGCAGATGATTAGACAGACTGTCTAGTCGATATTACAAAATAAGAAAAATGACAAGAGAGAGAGACAAGACTGTTAGGGTTTCTAGATGGCATACAGGTGTTGTAAGCCTGGAAAACTAGAGGTGATGACACAGATTTCTTAAAAAAACAAAATTTAAAAGATTCTATGATTGAAATAAAAAATTTTGGCTACTATAGCTTGAAAGGTGTCTCTCTTAAGAAAACCCAATTCCTTCATCCTGTCATCTAACATTTGCCCCCAGTGTGTCCTTTCTTATGAGGTACCCTAGAGCCAGGGGCTCTAGTTCCCAAGCAAGTTTCCCCTGATGGGGACATAATGAGTAGTGAGGGCTAGTCTCCAGCCCCCCAGAAGTCTGGCCTTCCTGACTCAACCCCCAGGACCTCATCTCTCCCGGGTGAACTGGAAAATACCCAGTGGGGAAAAGGGGAGAGATGGTGGTAAGAGAGAATGAACACACTTGACAATTATCAATGTGATATTAGCATCACAGAGCCTGGTTGTTTGCATCAGTGACGCCAGTTAAACCTCCTCTCGTTCACACTAGGCAGAGATGTTGCGCATTTTTGACTCCTGCACTTTTTAGCCTCATAGTCATTGAGAGAGAAAAAAAATCACAGTTTTGTTAAATAGTATGACTCTGCTTTGTCAAAGTGTCTAAGACCAATTAGATTTCCACCTGACCCTCCAAGCACGTTAGGCTGCTCATCGCGGCCCCAGATACACAGGTAGCCTTTAGACTGTTGTGCGGCACCAGCCTGGGCCAGACGGGAAAAGCTGGCCTCGGAGAGCCCTTCTGCCTTTCACTTCTGCCCTCTGCAGTTTAAGGAGAAGGGTAACAAGCAGTCAACACCCAGCCCTGCCAACTATACCAGTCACTGCTTTCCTTGGAGAGCAGGCATGCTTGAAATCTTCAGTCCCCAGTGTTCCCGTCTCTTGTTCACTTAACATTTCCTGAGCACCCACTGTGCGCCAGGCACTGGGTACATGCTGGAGCCTCGCATTCAGCTGATGATGAGTTGGTCATTTTAAGGCCACATCACTCCCCGACCTTGCCACCCATCTCACGTTCCCTGCGAAACTTAATCTTTTCCTTACTCTTTCCCCACCTATGACTTCCAGATTCAAACTGAAAACTACAATACAAATTAGAACAGTTTGATTGGAAAGGAACTGCCACACCAAAACTTGTACAGTCTTTCAAGTTCCTGAGGCCAGTTCCCACTTGCCCAGATTGCTTCTCGGTGTGTGGGAGCAACAGACCCCCCTGCGCCACATAAGGAACAGGCGGGCTACACAATCAGCCCTTCCCTGTGCTTCGTCAGCAGACGCTGAGGAGTCGCCCCCGAGGGCTGCTGCAGCCGGGCCACGCGCTTGGTGTGAAGCTAGGGGAGGTTCCTAATCTTTCAATGCTCGACTTTGAAAAGAAGATGGACACAATGATGTCAAGAAAACCCCTCCACTTAAATCTGTTCTGGCCAAGATCCTGCAGGAATGAAACGCAGAGTTCATGGGACCAAATGGCAAGAGAAACCAAGCCAAGATATTAAGATAAAAGTTGGTCCAGGACACATGACATCCCTGAAGCCTCAGATGAAATTCCTAGAGACACATGTGTGACACTCGACAGCCCAGGGTCACGCGGTTCCCCTGGAAAAGCAACCGTCAGAGAAACAGAGGTAATAAGAGTCCCCATATACACAGTGGGTACCACGGAGTAACCAAGGACGGAGACACACAAGAGCACCCAGGGGTCGGGGGAGATGTTCCCCATTCACCGGAAAGTGAAGGGCTCATCATTAAAGCAGGACTTTCACGGGAAAAATTCTGGGGGGAGCTTTCTTTTAATTTTTACAGGAAACACTTCTCTGTGTGTGTTAAACATATACAGTGGAATTCCAAACATAGAATACACATGTACAAAGAGGAGAGAAGAGACTGGAACTCAGTTATTAGCCTGACATTGCAGAGGATTATTATTTATGATTCTAGCTTTTTTTCTGTAATAAACATGTATCTCTTTTGAAATGGGCAAAGTTATAAAAAGGATAATGAGACTGAAGTGACTAGGATATGATTCAAAAGAGAAATATTCTAAAAGATGCGGATTTTCAGGATGATAAGAGATGTATACTTCTGAAAAAAATTTACCTGTGCTTTTAAAATTACATCAAAAAATTACATCAAGATGTGAATACATTGATAAATGCATTTTCTTCACGTATGTATCTTAGCACAAGGAATGTGTATGGGGTACGTTACCCTTTCAATAGTATCATAGCAGTCTTCCAGACTTTGAGTTCTGTCTTGTACAACTGTACTGGCTTCCTTATACTTCACCAACCACTGCTGATACTCTGCCTCAGTTAAATCTATGTAGGCAACACAGAGAGTCCTCAGACCTGCAAGAAAGATATTACCTGGTCAAGCTTCCAGTGATCAGGGAGAAGCAGAGAATTTGAAAACAAAATCCAGAAGCGTCTCAGAGGCTGAGGGACAGTGAAGTCCTCCGCTGTCCCTACCTGCCCTGCCCTGGCCTCCTTGCTGAGCGTATCACCTCCCCTCCCTCCCTGCTTGCTGTGGCTCCCCTGCCTCTTACTTCCTGACACTTGAACTTGCGCCTTCCTCTGCCTGGAATACTCTCCCCTTCCCCTCCTCAGTCTCTGCCTAACTCACCTTGGGTAGAGAGAGCACCCCTGCCCATCACTCTGTTCCCTTTATCCTGCTAGTTTCTCTCCATAGCACTTGTCATCCCTGTGACATCATCTATTACTGGCAAATTCCTGCAGGGCATTGGCTTTCTACGTTTTGTTCACTTCTGTCCTGGAAGCTGAGAACAGTGCATGCCACTTAATTGATGCTCCATAACTATTTGTTAAATGAAGGAAAGAACAAATGAGGCTTCTGTTTCCAATTTCAAAGTAAGCCAAATAATCCGTAAGATATCAGAAAATTAATTTAAATCCCATTTCACAAGGACTTATGTGAAAAAAAAACTTTAAAAAGCAAACTTATTCAGAACTGACTCAAGGGATTTAATTTCGTTAGGAGATGGATGATAAGTCAAAATCAGAAGGATAACAAGAGAATGGCAGGAAAATATCAACCGTCAGCATCCTGAGTTATACGCACAAAATAATCAGCTTCAAAATACAAAACACGAACTGGAAAAGCCTATTTTTTTCCTCCAACCATGGGCCAAGTTCCTACTACAGCTTGATAAAGAGGTAACACTTAGCAAACAGATTATAGACGGACGACACTGCTTTAGGAATATAGGAAGAGCCACACAGAAGAGCACACATCTTACTGCTCGCACATAAGCACAAAAACTGTTAAAGATGAAAGAAAGGGAGAGTAATAATAATGTCTTGACAAGGTTTGTTTGGGGAATCATTTATTTTTAAGCAAACAGAGGGCATACAAGGTCACACATGCAAACAAGCTCTCCCTCTTGCCCATCTATGGGCCCCAGCAGCAGTGACATGCTTCAAGGCTACAATTTCAACATTGAAGAACGGCATTAAAATCTTATGGTTACCAGGGAAAGGAGGTGGGAAGGGATAAATTCGGGAGTTTGACATTTTCAAATGTTAGCCACTATATATAAAGACAGATTTTTTTTAAGTTTTTTGTGTAGCATGGGGGTACTATGTTCAATATCTTGTAATAACCTTTAATGGAAAAAAATATGAAAATGAATATATATATATGTATATGCATGACTGGCACATAGTGCTGTACACCAGAAATTGACACACTGTAATTGACTGTACTTCAATTAAAAAAAGAACAGCATTATAAACGAGAAGTAGATTCAAAACAATTTTCATTTACCTTCTTTGGCAAAATATTCCAGATGGGTTAATGTCTCCTCCACAAAGAGAGAATCTTCTGAAAGTCTCTCATAAATCACTGAATCCTATGGGGTGGGGGAAATCCACAGTAATTAACACCTTTTCTAAGACTGACAGTCTGAATTCTAGATACTCTTTTATAACTTATTGTTCTATCTAATAGATATGAAGGTGCTCACATGAAGCCTCAGTGAAGGCACAATTCCAGAAAAAATGTTACATACAGAGGAACAAAAATAAGGCTAACAGCGGATTTCTCATTGAGTCAATGCAAGTAAGAAGCCAGTTAAGCAAAATCTTTACAGACTGAAGGGAAAAAATGGTCAGCCTAGAATACTATACTCAGCAAAAAGTTATTTCAAAATGAAGACCAGAAAAACAAAGACGAAATAAAGATTTTTTTCCAATTTAAACTGAAAAAAAATTTATCACCAATGGATCTATGCTATAAGATACGGTAAAGGGACTTCTTCAGAAAAAAGATCATTACACCAAATGGAAATACAGGTCTGAAAGCACTGAAAATAGTATTGGTATGAGTATATAGACATTATTTCTCTTGTTATTTAATTCTTTTTATTTAAAAAAATTGACTGCTTGAACAAAATTAATACCAATGTAGGGTGAAGTTTATAACTTTGTAAAATTAAAATGTATGACCACAGGAGCAAAGATTAGGAGAGAATCGGAAGTAGAATTGTAAGGTTCTTATACTACAGGTGAAGTAATATACTATCACTTGAAGGAGGGATGTAATAAATTAAAGACACCTACTATAAGCCCTAAAGTAACTACTAAAATAAAATTTTTAAATAAAAAAAGGAAATTGAAAAAAATTCAAGTAATCAAAAGAAGGCATAAAACAAAAAAATGAATAAGAGAAAAAAGAACAACTGGAACAAACAAAAAATAAATGACAAGATGATATATTTAAATCTAGCCATATCAATAAGCATACTATGTAAATGGTCTAAACATTAGTTAAAAGGCAGAGATTTTCAGAATAGATAAAAAACACAAAAACCAACTACATGCTCCCTAGAAGAAACACACTTTAAAGACATAAATGGGCTAAAAGGAAAGAAAAAGATATACCATGCTAACCCTAATCGAAAGAAATCTGAAGTGGTTATATTAACATCAGACAACAGAGATTTCAGAGTAAAGAATATGGCCGGGGAAAAAGAAGATCTTTTCACAATGATAGGTCAGCTCATCAAGAGGAATCAATAATCCTCAGTGTTTATGCACTGAATAACATAGCTTTGAAATGAAGCTAAAACTAATAGAAGCAAACGAAAAACAAATAGAACTTCAAGATGAAAATCACAAATCCACAATAATACTCGGGGATTTCAATATCCCCCTTTTGATAACTGATAGAACCAGTAGACAAAAAGTTATTAAGGACACAGAATATCTGAACAACACTTATCAACCAACTTGACCGAACTGATATGCCCACAAACAGCGAAATACTCATTCTTTTTCAGTACACACAAAACATCTAACATTAGATAGGTCATGATCTGACAAAATGAGTCTCAATAAAATTAAAAGTATTTAAGTCATACAAAGTGTGTTCTCTGAGTATAATGGAATTAAGTTATAAACCAATTAAAGAAATATCTCTGGAATGTTCCCAAATACTTGAAAACTAAATAACACATCTCAGAATAACTCATGAGTCAAAGAAGAAATCAAAAGCAAAATTAAAATATTTCAAATTGAATGAAGATGAAAATGCAACATATCAAAATTTGTGAGATGCTGCTAAAGCAGTAGCTAGGAGGAAATTTACAGCACAAAACATCTGTGTTAGAAAAGAAGAAAGGTCTCAAATCAAGTTCCACCTTAAGAAAACAGGAAAAGAGGAGCAAATTAAACCGAAACTAGGCAAAAGGATGGAAATGATAAGGTTAAGAGTGAAATTTAATGACGAAGCAGAAAAACACTTGAAAAGAATTAATAAAACTGAAAGCAGGCTTTTTGAGACCAATGCAGTTAGTAACTGTCCAGCTAGCCTCATCAAGAAAAAAGAGAAAAGACACAGATTGCCAAGATCAGGAATGAGAGAAGTGACATTTTTATAGATTCTATAGATACTGAAAGAATTTTTAAAAGGAATATGATGAACAGTTTTTTCTAATAAATTTGACAACTAGGATGAAATGGAAAAATTCTACAAAAAAGTGCAATCAAATCTAACTTAATTTTTTTAATGCTCTGAAAAGTTCTATATTATTAAAGAAATTGAACTTGAACTTAGAAACCTTCCCACAAAGAAAATCTCAAGTCCAGATGGTTTTCTGGTGAATTCCAGCAAACATTCAAAGGACAAATAATACCAATTCTATACACACTTTTCCAAAGACTGAAAAGGAGGGAACGCTCCTCATTAATTCTACATGACTAGCATTAAAAACCAAACAAAGGCATTACAAGGAAAGAAAATTAAAGACAATTCTTCTGAGAATAGATGCAAAAATACTAAACAAAACTTTAGTAAATTGAATCCAACTTTTATATATAAAAAGGATAGTACATCGTGACCATATGGGGTTTACCTCAGGAATACAAGTAGGTTTAACATTTTTAAAAAAATCAATTGATGTAATTTACCACACTAACAGGTGGTGAAATGAAAAATCACATTAGTATCTCAATCAATGCAGGAAAAATATTTGACAAAATCTAGCATCCATTATTGATCTAAAAAAAAAAATCTCAGCAACCTAAGAATGAGAGGGAATTTCCTCAGTATGATAAAGAGCATCTATCAAAAAAGTACAGCTGATATTATCTTCAAAGGTAAAACATTAAGTGCTTTTGCCTAAGATCACAAAGAAGACAATGGTATCTGTTCTCTCACTTCTATTTCACATTGTTCTGGAGGTTCCAGTTTGTGCAATAACACAAGAAAAAGAAATAAAAGGCATCTATATTGCCAAAGAAGATTTAAATTGTCTTTGTTCACAGATAACATGACCATTTATGCAGAAAATCTGATGTAATCTATCAAAATGCTACTGGAATGATTAAGTGATTTTGTAAACGTTGTAGGACACAATATCAAAATGTACAAAAGCCACTTGCATTTCTATACAGTAACAACAAACTATCAGAAATTGAATTTAAAAAATAATTTACAATAGCATCAAAAATATAAAATACTTAGGAATAAATCTGACAAAATAAATGAAGGATCTATACACTGAAAAACTACAAAACACTGTTGAGAGAAAATAAAAAGACATAAGTAAATAGACAGATATACCATGTTTATATAATAGAAAACTCAATATTATTTAGGATGTCAATTGTTTCCAGATTGATTTAGAGAGTCAACATAGTCCCAGTTTAAAAAAAATCCCCATTGGCTTTATTGGAGAAATTGACAAAATGATTTTAAAACTCATATGGAAACGCAAAGATCTCAGAACATCCAAAACAACTTTGGAAAAGAAGAACAAAGTTGGAGAACTAATGCATATGGTTCTAAGATTTATTATAAAGTGACATAATTAAGACAGGGTGTCACCGTATAAAGACAACCAACAGGACAGTGAAAGGAAACAGCAGGCTCACATACATGTGACAGAAGTGCAAAGGCAATTCAGTGAGGAAAGAATAAACATTTTAACAAGTGGTGCTGAGAAATCAGGTATTCAGATGTAAAAAACGAACTTCTAGTCCTGGCTCGTATCATTCAAAAATTACTCAGTATTAACCGGAAGTAAATATAAAACCTAAAACTGTAAGAAGAGGAGAAAACATAGGGGAAAATCTTTGTGACCATGAATTAAGCAAAGATTTCTTAGATATGGCACTAAAAGCATGACCTATAAAGGAACAAACTGGTAAACTGGACTTGATCAAAATTACTAACTTCTGTTCTTCAAAAGACACTATTAAGAGAATGAAAAGATAAGCCACAGACGGGGTTCTAGTATTTGCAAATTATCTATCTGAGAAAGGACTTGTATCCAAAATAAAGAACTCTCAAAACTCAATAAGAAAAACAAACAATTATTTTAAAAATCAGGGGCCAAATATTTAAAGAGACATTTTAACAAGGAAGATAAGTGGATGGTGTGTAGAAAAGAGTTGACATATCAGGTCAAAGACTGCTATTCTTAGAAAGACCTAATTACAAGGCTGGCCCTTGGCTGGTAAACAATTCTCTAAACCCAGCAAAACATTCCCTGTGTGACTCCCATGGGATTCATCCAGACACTGCCTATGTCCTTCTCCTTTGTGGTCTGGCTGTATACCCTTATTACCATAATAAATCTTAGTCATGAGTACAACGATGCGCTGAGTCCCATGAATCCTTTTAGAGATTCACTAAAAACACAGGGGTGGTCTTGGGAACCCCCATCACAGATAGCAAATAAACACATCAAAAGATGTTTGCTACCACTAGTCAGCATAGACATGTAAGTTAAATTCACAATGAGATACACACCTATTAGAATGGCAAAATTAAAAAGACTAACCATGCCAAGTGTTGGTGACAATTGCTGGTAATCACACTTTGGTGGTTTCTTAAGAAGTTAAAATACGCCTACTCTATGATCCAGGAATTTTACCCCTAGGTGTTTACCAAAGAGAGATGAAACCATATATTCATTCAGGGCCTTGCACACAATGCTCATGGGAGCATTGTTTGTAGTAGCCAAAACTGAAACAAAACGTTCAACAGATGGAAGGATAAGCGAGTGCTGGTATACCCACTCAATGGAATCTACTCAGCAATGCAAAGAAACGAACTACTGATACAAGCTCCAACATGAATGAATTTAAAAATAATTATGAGTGAAAAAACAGACAAAAAGTCACATAGTCGGACTGTATGACTTTATATAAAATTTTAATAAATATAAATGAATCTATAATGCAGAAGGCAGATCAGTGTGCAAACTTACCAAAATGTACATTTTAAATATATGTAGTTCATTTTATGTCAATTTTACCTCAATAAAACTGGGTTTTTTAAAGTACATATGATATAATAGAAAATACATGTATGTATGTACATGCATAACTGAATCACTTTGCTGTAGCCCTGAAACTAACATTGTAAATCAACTACACTTCAATAAAAAGCAAACTTTAAAGTACATATGGCAGTGAACAAATATCTAAGTGCTTCAAAAGAAGAGATTTATGGAGGTAAACCAAATTCCTGAGACACCAAATCCCAGCACTTTGGGCTCAGAACTGGGATCAAAATTCTCTTAGCTATAAACCCTTAGCATCAGTCATCTAATCACTGGTTCTCGGAAAAACAGCTAAGTGACAGCAAGTTATCACTGATATAAACACTGCGTGAGTGACCACAGATTTCAGTGCGCTCGGCTGCGGGGGACGTTTTTGGCTGCTTGGGTTTGAGATGGGCTTTTCAATCTTTGGTAATCCTTCTAGCAACCAGTGACTACAGCATATACAGAGTAACAACACTTAAAGATATGGTGAAGTTGTGAAAGGCTTCCTCCCCATTCCTGTGAACAAAGAGAGGAGTCGCGTGAAGGATGGAGTCCAGTACTTACAGCCCCTTTGCAGTAGAGCCGGACCTGTCCTGTAGGAGTTCGGACAATTATAGACATCCTTTTTCTATTACTAAACAATATTGAAAGTATCATTAGTATCTGTTTTCCTCAGTACCTGGAGCTAACACCCACACAAAAAAATCAAAGTCAAAAGAATTCTAAGACTTAGCGTCTTTGGCTGCCCTGTAGTGAAAAGGCTGGCATGTTTCTTGCCAGTTTCCATGTCTTTTTTTCTTTACCTGTTTCCTTTAACGGACATTCTAATTATAAATCTCCACCTCCTGCTACTACTATTCTTTTCTTCCATGGAAATTTACTGACACAAATATATATAATAGATAATATACACTATATATTGTATGTAATATGATATTTACATTGATATGTACTATTATAGTATAGTATGTAACACAGATACAGTAATACACCTTTCTTATGTATCATACATAATGTATATTACTTATAATATGCACACTATATATACATGTAATGTATTTAATATAATTGTTAAAAACTGCTGAGAGAAGAGGAGAGCAGCCCTGGGTCTGTGTATTATTCAGACCTCACACCATCTTTATCAAGTAGACCTTCCTGTTCACTGTGCTGCACAGAAATGTTAAATTTCTGGCTCAGTAGATGCCAGAGGTTTTAAAATATGGATTTCTGTCTCAAAGTCCTTGGGATTTTTGCGTTGGGTTTTTTTTTTTATTTGTTTGTTTTCACAGTCGTAGATAGGACGTAGACTCATTGCTTTTATTCCTGGTTTAGCAGCCCAAATCGGCTTGAAGAACTCCTCTCTCCACCTACCCCACACACCACCAAAGTAAACTGGCCGAGATGGTCCTTCCTTCTCATCATGGCATTCTCCGACTCCTAACCCTCCTCTCATCTTTCAACCACCAGCCCAAGTCCCATCTCCTCACAAAGGCTCCCTTGGCGCCTCCCTCTGAGGTGACCTCCACCACCAGGAGCACCACGGTCCGTCTCCATCAGATCAGACTGTTTAATATGCTTACAGCACTCGTCACGACTTGAAATTATCCTGTTCGTTTACCAGAGTCAAGGGCTCCATGAGCAGGCGGTCGTCACGGCCACTCTAGTCCTAGGACAGTGACTGGCATGTGGCTACAAAGGTATTTGTAGCTGCATAGACTGCAATCCACCCCGTGAAGACGAAAATACGTATTTTTTTTCATCCTCTAACTATTCTTTCACCTCTGGAAGCACAGGCTGGTTGCAAATTCCGGGCCTTTGGAACCAGACAGACCTGGATTTGAATCCTGACTCTGCCACTCATTTGCTCAGTGACAATGGGAAGGTCCTTTGAGTTGAGCTCCAGCTGCATGTCTTTCAAAAGGAGCGACCAGCAGCTACCTCAGGGGACTGCTTTGTTTGTGTCCAGCAGACCAGTTGGGCTCTCGGTCATTCCACGTTTTCAAGCTCTTCCAACAAAGAGAATTTTATTTTCCCTCAGGCATAAGGCTGATCAAGAAAAGGAGGTTGAAGCTTGGAACAAAAGTAAGAGGCTCAGAGACGTGATTGCTGAAGGAGAGGAGAAGGGTCTCCTCCAGGCAGGGGAAGCCCCTAGTGAAATCCAAACGCTTAAGCCTCAGAAAAGAGTGTTCCAGCTAAAGTGACAGTAATGATACTACACACGCATACCAAATGCTATATCAGTATTTTTTATGTGCCAGGCACTGCGATCTAATCTTCACAACAGTCCTGTGAGGAGGACACCATCTCTATCCCATTTTATAGACCAAGAAACTGCGGCGCAGAGAGGTTAGGAGACGGGGAAGGTCACAGAATCACGACCACACGCACAAGCACTCCTTGTCCCTCCTGCGTCGCCGGTGCTTCTCCACCCGCTCCCCTCCTCTCCACGTGCACCCACGCTTGTCACCAACCTTTCTCCCCTTCCGCCTTCTCTGGCTCCAGTCGATAAAGCCACTGAGTAAAGAATTAGCCAGCAAGATAACAACTCTGCCAGGCCACCAAGCCCAGCAAATCACCAGAAGTGGTGAGAGACGCCCAGGCACCTCCCACCCCCCAGGGAGCCCAAGCCGTGCCTGCTTAACACACAGGCTTCCCCGGGCCCTGTCGCACTCTGAACAGACTACAGCAAAGCTCCTGGCCTCCAAGCAGAACACGTGAGCTAGAAGGTACTTTCCAACAGGGGTAAAGGATTAACAATTGTTTCAAATGTTGAGAAAGCTGTTGGAACACTACTCAGGGCCATTAAGTTTTTTAAGTGTCACCTAGCTAGGAGCACACATGTTCATGACAGGAAATGACTGCTCTCATGGTAGCAGTAGTCAAATATGAAGAAGGGAGAAAGCTAGACTGATTATTGAGATGTATTTCCTTGCAATAAAGTTTTTATAAAAAGCTTTCCTAGAGAGAGGAGTTAATAGCAACTTTTCCGAGGTTTAAAACTTTTTTTTTTTAACTGTCACCAGGAAATAAGGCTTTAAAGACGTGATCTAAAAAACCATCTACCTTTGGGAAGAGCAAATGATTTACTTGTTTCCTTTTCTAATTTTTCAGATTCCACATTAGAAATGGTCTGATGGCCCGAGAGATATGACTTCATGAGTCAGGAGGAAACTCCAATGGCAATAAAACCATCACCCACATCCTCACAACACGCTCTGGGGCATCAGGCCACGGCTGCTGGAGTGTAAGAGGAGAGGCATTTGGAGGCACGCTGTTCCCTTTGAGGGAAAATTTCAATTACTTCACTACTTTTGAAGAAACAGTTTTTGATTTATTTGTGAAGATAATATTCAATATCCATTTGTTAAAAAAGAGACAATAGGCCCTAAATGGAGTCACTTATGCTCAGCCCAAGTCCCCAGCCTGAGACTTAATGCCTAACCGAATTGCAATTACAGCCTCCCCAGGCGTGCAACCTTAGCCAGTCAGTCTGGAATTGCCTGGTCAGCACTGGTGAGGAGACGTGAGTGACAGACCACTGCAGTCCCCCAAAGGGAGGGGACCTTGCCCCAAACGATCCACTCTGCTATAGCCTCCGTGCCCCACCCCGGTGTCACCTATGAACGTCGTCCACTTTGTTCAGCCCCTCAGAGCTCCTTTGTCTCTGCCGGGTGAGACGCTGCCCAGCTCATGAATCACTGAGTAAAGCCAATGAGATCGTCACAATTTACTCAGTTGAATTTTGCTTTTTGACACATCCATTCATCAAACACTTATTGAGCACTTCCTGGATACCAGCACTCCCCCCAAGGAGGTGACTCCTACCCTCCTGGAACTTACGGTCTAGTTGGCAATACAGTCGTTAAGTAATAACCCAGGTTTAAAATCGCAGCTCTGACTGTGACAAGTGCTAGAAAGAAGAGGTTGAGAAACCAAACCAACTACAAGAGGGAATTTGCACTAATGGGGCCAAGAAGAGAGAACTGAGCAGACGTTAAAGGGTGGGTAGAAGCCAACTAGAATTTCATGATTCTGTGTTAAGCTTTTGATTCACACACACACTGCCAAATCTCAATTGCATAGTCACAGAAAGAGCCCTGGTAAACACAGGCAGCTTACCTAGAAAACTCCAGGACGTTAAGAATTTCAAACGTGAATTCTTCTCCCATCTACAGGAAGATAAGACAACATGCTCTTACCTGGGGATGAAAGTATTCATCTTGCAAAATAACTCACTCTCCCAATCACATACAAGGTTTACCCCCCAAATACACATCTTTTTCAAAATAAAGAGCCTCTTGCACGTCTGATGAGATGCTGGTGCCCTCCGCTGGTAAGAACATTGCTTACAACCTGGGCAATGTTAGCAAAAGTGCTTCTAATAGTGACAATTTGAGCCTGAAACACCTCTCTTCTCAATCTAAAATTAGCACTAATAGAAACACTGTATAAACACACCCCTGTTGTAAAGTTACATGGAGTAAATGAGACAATCATCAGACAGAAATGGGAGAGCAAATAAATCTTCTAATAAAATCGCACAGATCAAACAGAATCCTTAATGCCTAGATAATTTGAAGAGGTAAACATGGAAAGAGGTGGCATGCTATAAGATGTACCAATGAAACATGCATTCTTTTCTAAACTTTTCCTGTTACAGCCGCTTAGCTTTCTATAACCATGATCAATTTGTCTCTGAATCTACCAGCTCCCAGCTTTACCAGTACAGGACTGTAGAAGTTCAAATAATTTGAGAATCATCTATGTGCTATAAAGAAGAATTCATCAGTCCATTCTAGCAAGGACACAGTGCCTAGTAAACACACCTAACCATTGCACTGTGACTAGGGGGGAAAAGTGCATTGGCCACCATGTTTACATTGCTTCCATTTTCTCTCCCATAACATCAAAGGTTTGTGGTTAGTGGTCATCAAGAAAGAACAAGGAAATATACACATATATATAACATAAATAAATCAACAGAACAGAGCTGACCAAAGAGTAGTCTGAAACATTTTGATTCTTCATAGGAAAAAAAATCCTGTATATCTTGAAGATCTAATGATTCTAACTCTTTGGAATAGCTCACTTTTACTGAGCACTTTCTCTGCACCAAGCACTAATCTCAAATACTTTACCTAAATTAACTCATTTAATATTCACAAGGACCCTATAATATGCGTGATGAGAAAACTGGGGCAAATACAGAGAAGTTAAAGAACCTGCCCCAGAACAATGGCTGGGAAGGTATGGGGCCAGGTGGGAATTCCGGGCAGTGGACTCCACAGCTTCTACTCTGTTTTGGGGTGGGTTTTTATGCAGGGGGCATTAAGTTTATTTATTTATTTGGAGGTATTGGGGATTGAACCCAGGACCTTATGTATGCTAAGCATGCGCTCTACCACTGAGCTCTACCCCCCACCCCAAGAGCTCCTACTCTGAACCACTGTTTACATGTGTTTCTCTGGAAGAGCAGGTGCATGTAACCTGCTGGGAAGCATACAGGATGCTACTCACAGCTTCGATGGTGACAGAGTATGGCGTTCTTGTAGTGAAAACAAAGCCAAGTTTCTTTGCCCCTTTCACTAAAGCTGCTTCATCTGCCAATAAAAAGTCTGTATTAATGGAGATTGAGCAAACGTGTTGATGCTGAATTTAACTTAATGTAGATTTCTATTCTCCAGCACGAAAATATCATGTCATTCTTCACAACTTGGCTTTGTTGATCACTTATCTGTGCTTCTAGGCACCAGACAGTGTTCATGGAAGGGGAAATTTCGTTAAGCAGGGCCTCTTTTGGTGGGACTAAGATAAATCCCTCAGCCTGGAAGTGAAATACTTTCTCAGTGCTCATTATGGTCTTGTTTGTTCTCCAAGCCATTAGTAGCACCTCCATAAAATGTTGCCTTGTGACTGATTATAACCCCTGTGCCCAGACCGCCCCCTGCCAGCCTTCTTGTGGCAGTTTTTGGATGTGTGGAGAGGAGGAGCCCCAGAGCTGCAGAGTGGCTCAGAGCTGCAGGTACCATGAATGCCCCAAACTGTCAGAATTGCAGAGAAGGAGAAAGGCAGGAGCCAGCAGGGGGTCAGCGATGGCATCCCCTGCCCTGCAGGCGCATCACCCGCGGGCATCCTGCATGCACAGCACCTACCTGGGGAGGAAGCCTGGTAGTTTATGTTATTCCCATCTCTCTCGGGAACAACAGTGTGGCACACGCAGAGCAGAGTAAGAAACTCCTTTATACAGGCTTTCGTGGGCTGCGAAAAAGGGACAGAGCTGTTGAGTCCCTTCTGACCGCCCTCTAACGTGAGTCACACTCAGCCTGCAGTTAGCGCCAACTGAGGTTTCACTTCAGGTACACACAGAGTCAGACTCCAGCTGAAAACTAGATCATGCATCCAAAATGTGTTTGTGGAGTGGGTACTGAGTCAGGGACAGTGCAGGGGGCTGGGGAGACCCCAGGGAACACGATGGCTCTGCCCTCTTGGAGCATCTGTTCCCTGTGAGGAACCGTATTATGAGCTCAGCACTCAGCTCATAATACTGGTGTAAAATCCCTTGCTCACTGTATTATCACCAAAAAAATTTCGAGACTCTTTCTCTCTTCCTGTGCTCAGAAAATTACACCTTTTGGGAAACGATATGTACGTTTCAAAGTTACACAGCATTGCCCTGTCGGCATAGAGTGAAAGCAGCAGACTTACGTGGTTGTTCTTCAAGTTCCGCAGCAGTGTCGGGTCGTTGAACTCATAGGCCTCTGTGACAGAGCAGGCTGACTGACTGAGGAAGAACACATAAGATTTGTTTTAACTAAAAGTTCCTGGTGACCATCAGTTATCAAACAGCTCTAAACAGAACACAGCCCCATCTTCTGTTTTCATTAAGTCACACTTAGAACTAGTAAATATTTCGAGTTCTGTCAAATTATACATCCGACCAGGCCTCAAGCTGCAAAATGCATTGGAAAATGCCTAGAAAACTGTATAGTTATGCAGAGTTTGAGGCAGAGTGAATTGCCACCAAAGCAACCAATTGAAGTCTAGGTTTTGGGTTCTTTGACTATCAGATGGGAAAGATCTAAGCAGGGGAACTCCCCAGGAACTGCCACTGGAAGTCTGGACAAGGGGGGCTGTGTTATTGTACATCAGAGCTTTGGTACTGATAAAAAGCCTGCTGCAAGGGAAAAAACACTGGCAAGCCAGGAAAGAATGTTCTCTAGTTACCTTAACTTTTTTCCACCAGCATCACTTCTGCTTGACTGATCTCTAAGGGAAAATGAGAAAGGAAATATGACTTATTACAAGACTATAAATGTAAAACTCTTAAGGAATTTGAATCATGTATAAAAGTAGATGTAAATCATGTTTTTTAAAAACCTGCAAGTTTTCATCGAAGGTATATTAAGTTGCAACCTCATTCAGCCATAGCTATAGTATTAGGAGTTCAGATACGTTCTGCAGTAAATAAAGGCTAATTAATTTTGTTAAGGAACAAAACATGAGAATTTCCAACAGACTAGGGCAATAAAACACTTACCCATAAATTATACCGGCAATGGTGCACTTCTTTAATGTCATAATATTGCAAGTAAGGGTTCCTGTTTTGTCAGAAAATAAGTATTTCACCTACACAAAGAAGAAAGACATTTTTAAATTTAACTAAACAAAGAAAAAATTAACATGATAAACAAAATAAATTTAAAATATATTTAGAGAAAAAAGATAGGATGGCATTCTTTCTCTTTAAATCCTCAAATAATGTGAATTTCTAGAAAGCAAGATGTTCAGTCTATAAGAATTCTATCTTTAATTTTATACTTCTTTCAGAGGCCGTACTCTTTGTATTACACTGGAGGTGAAATTCTGTGGTAATATGCAAAGTAGACTTCAAGTCATCAAACCTAAAAAACTCAGAAATTCGAGTCCATTTTCCTCCCACAAGAAGTCTCATTAGAAGTATCTAGAGAACATTAAGTAGATAAAGACTGGTATACTGATACATATGTATATCTCAGATGCAAAAGAAAACCAGACTTGAAGTCACTGTAATCATTATCACAAGCATAACGCTCATTTCAAAGACAAGTGGAAGTTCCACAGGTGACCATTTCTGTTCAACAAATAATGCAAAGCAATATGCAATTAAACAGTTTCAAGATCTTTGTATTATTTGGAAAGAGACATGGATACAGACTAACTACTTGTTAAATAAAGCCACCAAAAAGTGATAATAAAAGGCAGGAGCCACTGTCATTTAAAAGATCGCCAGCATCTGTCTGCGGGTAACCAGGCATCGATCCCTGCCTCTTTCTGTTGTGTGGCAGGGACTAGAGGCAGGAGGCTACATGTCTCCCAGTCTCTGGGCAGCAGGCTAGATTCTACCATTGAGAGGAAATTTCTGGAAGGTACTGGAAGCTCTGTTGCTTCCCTGCTGGCAGCTGTGGGCAGGTGCGTGAGTTTGGCAGGTGTGAAACCGTGCAGCAGTCTCTGGATGCTTCCCTAGGGGCTCATCTGCCTTAGGGAAGCATCTCCCTGAAAGCTAACGGAAACCCTGGGCGCTCCCAGCAGCTTTTCCTACCTGTCCCTCCAGCTCGTCCACCCTTCACAAGCACATAATGGTCTGTATTAAGTCTGTTCTACTTGCAACCCATGATGCAACACCATCAATCTTTTGAACAAATTGTACTCCTGAAGCTCTATGTGGGTGTCAGATTAACTATAGCCCCTGACCGAATTCAGCCCTTTCACTCTGCAGGAGCTCCCTCTAGATCCACCTCCTCTGAAGCGCCTGTCGCACTGACAGGAGGCCCTCTGGGGCCCTCACCTGCCCAAGCTCTTCATTAAGATTCGATGTTCTGGCCATGGCGTACACATTATTGGCCTTATAGTGCATGTCTTCATCCTGCAGGAAACAAACAAAACAGCCAAGCCACACAGTCAGAACCAGGCTCCAAATTTCTGCAGGAAGGCTGTACTGCCACTGATCCCCCACGCGCCTGACATTTAGAAAAAGGCACACTGGAGAGTCTAGAACTCCTGGTTTTGGACCACACGTGCTAACTTCTCACGTAGTTGGCTGAGTTGAATTAGGAGAGGCAACGCCACGTAGAAACAAATGGCAAGGGGGTGGTGATTGGAAGACGTGGCTGTCAAATCCCGGCTCTGCCTCAGACACGTTGTGTCGCCTTGAGTGAGTCTCAGCTACAGCATCCACCAAATGGGAACAATAGGACCTCACAGCACTGCTCAGAGAGCTACTATAAAAACCCACTAAGAACACATTTGAAAGCACTTTGTCTAACGTTGTGGTTGCCAAGATACTATATCCCTTCAAATGATGGTAATTCATGGCCTACTAGGAGGACCGTGTTAATGTGACATCTAACAAGAATTTTATTGCACAGAACAGTATTTCACAATACAACTAAAAGTTGTAACCCCACACTCAAACCGGGAAATTTATTCAGCCACAACTTAGAGAGTATTAACCGCAGTCACCATGTGGCTGTCACCACGCAGGGATTCTGGGATGGCTTTGTCGCTGCCACTCTTGCCAAGATCTGTAAACCTCTTGTAAGTCTACTGGGCTCTCCCCTTTGCGAGTATCTTTAATGTTAATGGATAACCTTTTCTCTACACTTGCCACTAAGCCACTCCTAAATATTTCCTATAAGCTAGAAAAAATATATGAAGAAAATGGCGTCCTCTACCTAGACTGACACAGAGAAGCCCAGGCACTGCTGCCTGGCTCCACACCAGTGCTGGGCTCTCCTGTCGAAGGCACGGCTGGTCCATCAGCCGCACTGCCTCCATCGTAAGAATCAGTCACGTTGATTCTTATAACCAAAGCCATAGCTCGAGAGAGTTTTTTTAAGTCCTGATTTTAATACTCACCCAGTTTATAAACAGGGCCTGAACGTATTTCACAATTTCCAGAGTGACGAGCAGACTGATGGGGATGAGGTTGTGGTACAAGATGATGAACATCAAAATGTCAAACCCAAAGCTGTGGGTGTTGTGCTCTGTGGAAGAAAATCAGAGGAACCCCATCACGGCTTCAGGCGACATCTTTATTCATCTCTGCTTGCAGGATTATGGTTTACAATTGCGGAATTCCTCTCCATGAACATTATTATTAAAAGTATGATGAAGTGGACACAGATGTAAAATGGTTTTTAAAATACTAGTCAAGCACCAACCAACCATGTAAGAGGGTGTGCGGGAAGCATCGAGCTACAATCTAACAGGGCATAGATCCTGCCCTCAGGGGACCTCGGTGCAGCTGGAGGAAGCCAGAGGAGTCAGGAGCGGCTGCAGCGAGTGAGCTCCGCGCTGTGCTGAACGCCCAGCGCAGCAGCAGCAACACAGGTGCGGGGCCAGGAAGGGGTCTCGGAGAAGCTGGTGAGTGAAGAACTGAAGAAGGGAATTTGATAAATGCAGGGGATACGGAGAAGGGGGTGAGGAGGACTTTTTAGCTGGAAGAAACAGTATGTCTGAAGCCAAAGAGATAACCACTATAATGATTTTTTAAACTCAGAGAAAGAAGGAAAAGCAAGCCCTCCTCAAAAAAATGAATACGATGCTTTGTAAAACCTAGCGGTGCGCCCATTTTCAAAGGGACAGTGTGTTTGAGAGAATAATATTCCAATAAGAATTGAACCTAATTTCACAGAAATTTACTTTAAAATATCTAGAAAGTGCTCAGGAGAGAAGAGATACATACACATTGCCTTACACGCATCTTTCTGAAAACTTGCATCTCAGTCTTACATATAAAACGTACGTAGTTGAGTTATGGGAGGAAGCATTTTGTAACTGAAGAGCACAAAATGAGAAGTAAGTTGTAAACAAGATCAGAGTAATTAAACACAAATCAGTACAAATACAGACAAAGTTAAATAATTTTAATTTTAAGTTAGAATTTTATACTCATTTCTCTAAATGAGTGCATACTTGTAATTTAGACGCCAAATCTAGGTTTCTAAATTTCATCAACCTAAATGTCAAGTTCAATTAACCATCACATACATTCAAATTCTTACCACCTTGAGTTGACTAATCCTCCCTTATTTGTCAGAATTATACCTTTACACTTACTGCATTACTTTATGGTCATAAATCATTCTCTTAAGAAAATCAGAGGCAGGTATCACTATGACCACTTTATGGACAGAAACAGAGACAAAATCTTTAGTATTCTGCTAAAGGTAATAGTTACTAAAAATGCAATTATAACTTTAACTACTCAGTATCTTTCTCTTCTCTTGGATTAGAATATTCTGGTCAGAGAAATGTAGTCAGGACCCGATTATGGGTTCTTATTCCAAATACGCCACCAACTTCCTCTGTGCTTTTCGGTAAACACACAGACTGTTTCATTTTTGTAAAAGAAGGAGTTAGACTAGAAAACTTTGAAATTCTATTTAATTCTAAAATTATTTAGTTTAGTGAATCAATTAACTACTGAGTTCCTATTACGAAAAGGCACTGCTCTTGGAGTGAAAGATATAATGATTCCTGACCTCAAAAATTCACAACCTAGCAGGGGGGTGGGAGAGAGGAACAATAATTATAAAATATGGAAACAGAGTGACATGTATTAAGAATATCATTACAGAACCCAAAGAGGGCTCCTAACTGGACAAAGGAGGGGGCAGGTAAGACACGGTTGCTGCTACCAGAGAAGGTAATGTTCATCTCAGTCTGAAATGAGATGAGGCAGGTATCCAGCTGCACAGAAGGAGCCCTGGACCACAGGCCTGGAGATGATGGAGCAGCTGGTGGACAGAAGCATCATGAGAAAGACAAAAGCAGTCCTCTGAGAGTAAAGACCAAGCGCTAAGGAGAAGCGGTGAGGTGTCAGGACACAGGGGTCAGGTCATAACAGTCCTGAGAAGCCACGCGAAAGGAGGTTTATCCTGACCCCACAGGCCAGGAGTCCGGGAAACACTTCCTCTGACAGCTGGCGGGTAAGTATTTCAGGCTTTGCAGACCCTGCAGTCCTGTTGGAACTACTCAGCTCTGCTGCTGTAGCATGAAAATGCAACAACAACTCATAAATGAATAAACATAGTGTGCTTGTGCTCCAGTAAAGCTTCATTCACAAAGACAAGCAGTGGGCCATCAGACGGCAACTTGCCACCCTAGCGCAGGCTCAGTGACATCACTGAGTCTACTGGACACATTCGTACCTGCTTTTTATACGCATCCTTCTGGAAACTGTGTGAAGGATGAATTTGAGTAGAACTTGACGGAGGGCTTGGCAACCAGTTAGGAAACCATGGTGGTGGTCCAAGGATGGAGAGGAGAGTGCCTACAGAGAAGATGCTGGAAAGGCAGAAGCAGCGAGACTCTGGGACTGACAGGATGATGAAGGCCACGGGGCGGATGTGGGGAGGAGAGGTGGAAACTGAGAAGGAGGTAAGAATGACCTTTATGTTTCCAGCTTGGAGATGGTTGGATGTGGTACCACCATTTACATGGAGAACACTGAAAAGAGACACTGGTTTGAGGGGAAAAGATGAACTTAGTTTTGTACATGCTAAGGTAAGAAGCCTCCACAAAATTTCGAGGATTTACGGGCTCAAGTTGAGGAATTCCTGATGGCCCCAAGATCCTGGAAAACACTAGCAATTAAAAGGTAGATCAAGGTTTCTATGAATCAAATAGGGAAAAAACGGGTTTCAAAAAAAAAATCAGAAGCAAGCAGCAGAAATCCCATTAGATCGTGACTTTAAAAATGACCACTGGGTTTAGTAACTGGGAATTTACCCCAGATGTGGAGCAATTATTTCAGCAGAGTGGTTGAAGTCGACAACAGGTTGAAACAGGCCCAAGAGCGACCGGGAGGTGAGGAAATGGCAACAGTGTGGGTTGTCTCTTCTTTCAAGAAGTCTGATCAACAAGGGAAGAGAAGAGCATTTGTATGACATGCAGAACTTGACACATTTTATAGACATCAAAATGTCGGTGGCTTTTGTGAGTTTTTATGTCTGCTTCCAAATAATATGCATGCACCCTCTTGGAGTAGAGCAAATTAAACAAGAAAATTTAAAATGAGATTACTTTTTAAAGCTCATCTGAAATGTAGAAGCTCGAAATCAAACCCAGACTAGTAACATCTAGAAACCCAGACTGTGTAAGAATAAATCCTTTATTTTTGGTCCAATTTACAGAGTCTATACCTTAGTTTCTTAATTCCTAAAATGCTCTCAAACAGATCCTTTCAAGGGAAGTTAGAGCAGTGATAGATTAGGAAGGGCAGAAAGATGTGTGATGGCTTACTTTGAAAACATGGAAAGACACAAACAAAACAAAGAAAAATGCTGAACTTTTAATGCCAAATACCTTTAAACCTCTTATGACAGGACACTTGAGCCCCTGAATCCCCCTCAGTGCTCCTTGTCCTCATTTCCTTGCACTATTCATTGTACATGAAGTGCTGTACTGATCCAAGGAGGTAGATATCATCCCCATTTTCAAATGAGGGAAATAATGCGCAGAGAAGTAAAAAACCTTGTCCAAAATCTTCTGGTGACTAAGAATCAAAGATGTGGCCCTCATCTGTCTGAGCCACAGTCTCATGCCTCTGCCCTGATTCTTCTCTCTGCTTTATTCCGAAATGCCAGGATTATATGAAATTGTCAGGACAATCTATTAAAAAAAATCTTAAGAAGGAAACGTTCTATTTCTAAAACTCATTAATCTTCAGTTTCTAAAACAAACAAACAAAACAAAGCCACCACACACCAGTTAGAACAATAAATAAAAACGTGGGGAGCCTTTGAAGTCACTTTCCAAAGCAGCACAACTTCCAGAAAAGGCAGCTTCCTGCCATGCTCTGGTGCTTACCCTTCTTCATGATGTACCAGATGTCCACTCCATGCTTGTCCTTCCAGAGCATGCCTCCCACACAGCTCACCAAGGACATGACCAAGAGCAGCACGAACAGCACCAGGATCTGCAAATTGGTCACCTTCTCAACGCTGGATCTCTTGAGAAGCGACTTGACCGAATTCTGCACAGTAGCACACAACCACATACCAAAAAGGACAAAAAGCAAACAAAACAAGTGAATTATAGTGGGAAACATTTTTATAGTGAGAAGAGGTCAAAATTGCAGCAGTTGAAAAGTAGGAAAAGTAGGATGTCTTTTGCCAAAAACTAACAGACTGAAAGTATGCCTGTGGTTTAATGAGCGTGGCTTTTCCACCTCAGTTCTTGGAGCATCATTCTCTAGTTCATAGAAAACATACTCGCATAGCAGATCCATCACCTCAAAGTATGAGGTTCCCAAAAAAACAAATATAGTAAATCTGACAGTCCAGGTGATCTTCTGAATAGCAAAACAAAAACAAACAAACAGACAAAAACCTCACAAATTTATTGTTTTTACCACTTCTAGTTACTGAATTATTTCCAGTTTAAAAACCATGGACAGTCTCCCAAGGCAAAGGAAATCTAAGCAAAAATAAACAAATGGGATCTGATCAAACTTACAAGCTTTTGCACAGCAAAGGAAACCATATATAAAACGAAGACAACATACAGATTGGGAGAAAATATTTGCAAATGATGCAACTGACAAGGGCTTAAATTTCCAAAATATTCAAACAGCTCATACAAACTCAGTATCAAAAAAAAGCAAACAATCCAATCAAAAAATGGGCAGAAGACCTAAATAGACCTTTCTCCAAAAAAAGACACACAGCCAATAAGGCACATGAAAAGATGCTCATCATCACTGATCATCAGAAAAATGCAAATCAAAACCACAGCGAGATAACACCTGTCAGAACTGCTATTATTAAAGGATAGGAAATAACAAGTTCTGGCAAAGATGTGGGTAAAAAGGATCCCTTGTACACTACTGACGGAAACGTAAATTGGTGCAGCCACTATGGACAACAGCGTGAACGTCCCTCAGAAAGCTAAAACTAGAACTGCCATACAATCCAGCAATTCTATTTCTGGGTATTTATCTGAAGAATACAGAAACACTAACTCAAAAAGACATCTCCACCCCCTTGTTCACTGCAGCATTATTTATAATCACCAAGATCGGGAAACAATCTAAGTGCTCATCAATAGATGAATGGATGAAGAAGATGTGATATACGTATCTCAACACACAGTGAAATATTACTCAGCCATAAAAAAGAATGAAATCTCACAGCTGCAACAACATGGATGGATCTAGAAGGATACTACACTGAGTGAAATAAGTCTGACAGACAAATGCCTGATGATTTCCCTTCTATGTGGAATCTAAAGAAACAAAACAAATGAACAAATATAACAGAAACAGACGCATAGATACAGAGAACAAATAGGTGGTTGCCAGAGGGGACGGTGGTTGGGGGATGAGTGAAATCGGTGAAGGGTATTAAGAGGTACAAACTCTGAGTTACAAAGTGAATAAGTCATGGAGATGCAATGGACAGCACGGGGGATATAGGCAAATACATATTCTCAACTTTTCAGTCACACTGTATCAGATTAAAGTTACCATTTCTGTATTTTATTAATAGCTTAATAGAGATGAGCTTCCAAATTCAAGAGAATACTAAAGCCCCTCATTTCATAAAGGCAGAAGGAATAATCTAAAAGCAAGACTGTCATCATAGATGATTTTACCTGCATGAATTTGGTTTCCAGTCCAGTGTAAACAACTATGCCAAGAATCCACTCAGTATTCTTAAGCTGTGTCCCTCTTAGCAAGACCTGCTCAGGCCCAACTGGAACAGGGCTAAAAATTTAAAAACAAAGAGCACTTATAAACTACCAAAGTTTTTCTTTTTACAATGTAAAACAAACCTCGGCTTTCACCTTATAGATAGATTTCCTTTTGTCAAGATCAACTTTTTGGGCAAACAGCAATAGAAACAAACGTGTCTTCAAAAAATGTATCTATTTCTAAAAGAGTAGAAAAAACTGCTTTGTCATCCACGTCTCATCATTCCAAAGATACGTTGATAAAAAATTTTAAAGAGAAAAGCATCTTTTTTACCTAGGGTGACTACAGAAGTTGTAAGTTCAAGGGAAGATTAAGTGCACAAAACACGAGAAGGAAAAGATGATACCTGCTACCATTCAGGTGCAAGGTTCCAGTGAAGCTGTTGAAATGACAATTAGGTCCTTCACATTCTATTTTTCCAGAGAGGCTTGACAATTGCTTTTCTGTTTGCATTTCAGCTGTTTCCAACAAAGCCTACAAAATAAAATCAAAGGAAAAAATGAAAACAGAATTTTAATGGCAAAGTTCAATGTCTCTAATAGTTAATAAAAGAAGATTATGAAAAGACAGTGTCTAAAAATGTATTGTGCTTACCAGACAATAAAGAATACCCATCAAATTTTAATATAAACTTTGAAGACTTTGGCATACCAGCATGTTGCAAATAATTTTAATAAGGTCAAAAGAGGTACGAAAGTTAAGTTTTGTCACCTCTATATGAAGTACCGTTTGTGAAATAATCATCACCATAACCAAATACTATGTAGCATCTGATGCATTTATGTCCATAGCTGTTGATGTGCATCACACTTGGAGTAGCAAGAATCTAGAACAATAACCCCAAACTTTTGTGGGTACCAGATTCACCTGGAGGTCTTATTAAAACACAGAGTTTTCTTATTCAGTAGGTCTGGGGTGGGGCTGCAGAATTTGCATTTTTAACATGGTGGTGTTGCGCGTCCAGGGTCATACTTTGAGAACCACTCGCCTAGAAAATGCCTCGTTCCAGTAAGATTATGTAACCTTCCAGAGAGAAAAGGCAGACCATCCTCAAGAGACTAGGAATCAAACTGTCACTAGTGTTTTTAAAAACAAGATACAGGAAGACTGAGGATTTTATTTTTAGGTATTTAAATACAAGACCTTTAAATCTAGAATGCTGCATCTTTCCAAATATCAAATAAATGTGAAAGTTTAGTACAAATATTCTCAAGCATGCATACAAGGTCTGAGAAGTGTTGACACTCAGAAACCTACACTGGAACAGTTTGGGATGAACTTCTGTTTGTTAAAAGATGCCTCAAAGAAAGTATAAAAGCAGTTACCAACTGGGAGAAGACATTTGCAACACATATAACTGATAGAAGAATTAGTATTTAAAATGCATGAAGAAATCTTATAAATCTATAAAAAATAGAAATATCTCAGAAGAAAAATAAACAACCAACATGAACAAGTATTTCCCAGAAGAGGAAAACATGTATAAGCATCAAACTCAAAAACAGATGCTCAAGAGTGATATACTGAGGCGGAGGGTGTAGCTCAAGTGGTAGAGCGCCTGCTCAGCATGCATGAGGTCCCGGGTTCAAGGCCCAGTCCCTCCATTAAGAAAATAAATAAATAAACCTAATTCCCACCCCCCCAAAAAAAAGTTCTTAAAACAAAAACCAAAGAGTGATATACTAATGAATGAAAGGAGAAAAAGCATTATTGTACCAATAGATGCTGAAAAAAATTAGTGGAAGATTTAACATGCATTCTAGGAAAAAAAATTCTTAGTAAGCTTCCCACATAAAAAAACTTCCCAACTTTCATAAGAGAGAACTACAAACATTAAAAACGACTATCATACTTAACCATGAAGTATCAGAAGTATTTCTGTGTCAGTCAGGAGCAAGAGGGGACTAGGATCTATCACCAAGTTCATTTTCAATTGCTCTGGAGCTTCCAGAGATGAGATGGGGTTGAAGGGTAGGGGGAGTGAGGTATTATCATTATTGGGAAGGAAAGACCAACAGTGACCCAAATTTTAAAGAAAGGATGTTCTGCCCTTAAACCCTACACGCTTGAGTTAAAAATGCTAAAAATGTGTAAGAATTTAGTAAGGTGGCTAAATATACAACCAGTAAACAAAGTAAGTACTAATGATGTACCTGCTAGATCTTGCTGTTGCTAATAAAACTGCTATAAACATTTGTATAAGTGTTTTTGTGTGAACATGAGTTTTCGTTCCTCTGGGATAAATGCCCAGGAGTGTAACTGATAGGTCGTATGACAGCTATACAAAACTGCCAGCGTGTTTTCCAAGTCACCCACAACATATGAGAGACTCAGTCTCCCCACATCCTCACCAGCATTTGGTTTCATAAATACTTTTAATTCTGGCCATTTCTGATGAGTGTGTAGTGACAGCATTTCCCTAATGGCTAATGATGTGGCGAATGTTCTCATGAGCTTATTTGCCATTTTATATCCTCTTCTGTGAAATGTCTCTTTTGCCCATTTTCTAATGAGGTTGTTTGGTGGGGTTTTTTTTTTCTTTTGTAAGATTTTGATGGTCCTTTATTCCAGATGCCAGTTCTTTGTCAGACATGTAATTTGCAAATATTTCCTCCCAGTTTTTAATTTGTCTTCCCATCCTCAAAACAAACAGAAAAAAAATGTAATACAGTTTTGCTAAGTTTTAGCCATTATTTCTTGGGCAGAAACTCTTTCCTTCTCTGTCTCCCCTCCTTCCAGGCTCTGACGACATGAATGTCAGCCCTTTGGTTATATTCCCACAGGTGTCCGAGGCTCTGTTCATTTTTTTTTTCAGTCTGTTTTCTTTGCTGTTAAAACTGGGTGGTTTCTGTTGTGCTGTCTTTCAGCTCACAGGTTCTTCCCTCTGGCCCTTCTATTCTGCTGTTGAGCCTGTCCCTAGAGGGCTTTTTGTTATTGTTGTTTGTTGGTTGGTTGGTTTGTTGTTTGGGTCTTTTTAGTTGTTGTATTTTTAAGTTCTAAAATTTCCACTTGGTTCTTCTTTATTTCTTCTATTTTTTTGCTGAGACTTTCTGCTTCTCTGCTGAAACTTTTTATTTTTCATTTGTTTCAAGCATGCTTGTGATTGCTCACTGAAGCTTTTTTCTATTGGATCCTTTACAGTCTCTAAGATGCTGCTTACTTCCTGTTATTTTGGTATTGGCATCATTGACTACCCTTTTCCATTGAGTTATAAGATCACTCAGAGTTCATATATACCTCTTTTCACTCTAGTTGTCGTGTTTCACCACGACGGCAGTTTTATCATCGAATCACTAACAGGTATATCCTCAAAACGACATGCATAAAGGTGTGTTATCCTCTATGACCTGAATTTTATAGGACGCATTTTTTCTTGCAGTCGTGAGTGACACATTCACATAGTTCCTGTTCATTATTTTAAAGGTACTCTTTAAATGTCTGATGAGGATAAATTACATTCATTCAATAATGGTGAGACAATTTTCATCATAAAAACAATAACTGGTGCCTGACAAAACTTGACATTGTAGACTCGGGTATAAAATCAGAAATTAAAAAGGTATCTTATTGTAAAATGATTATAAATCAATAAAAAATGTTAAAAAAAACATAAAAAGGTATTCTTACCTGACGTATTTTTAGATTTGTCTCTCCATCCAGATTAGATGTTGCAACGTAACATGATGCCTGAGGTCCACTAAGGAAAATAAAGCAAATAATGTTTAGTCAATATCTCTCCAACAAACTAGTTTCCCAATAATGGTAACTTCAGAAATGTGATCTACATCAGTAACGGTTCTTCAGAACTGACAGGACTACAACTACTACTTTGCCAGGGGATATTAGAAGTCTAGACCTACAAGGCTGAAATTCACCTTGCAGAGTAATAGCTCAGTAGAAAATTTCCCACTGAGTTAGCAAACATTTGCCTTGTCAAAATTTCACTCCATGTTCAATGCAATTCACTTATGATAATGAAGAATTTGGGGGGAAATGTTACTACTTTCAAAGCATATTTTCATTTTTATTACCACCATATCATCATTCTAGTTTTACAACCACTACGTGAGAAAGATAAGGGGGCTTCTTTCCTGAGAGATAAAAGAACCAAGAACACAAATAGAAAAGCTGTTCCAACTGATAAGGCATGTTCATGTACCTCAGGTTTTTCCATTAGACCAACAGCTCTCATTTAAAAAACTTTTGCCTCTGAATTTGACCATAAGATATGCATCCCTCAGGCTGATAAAGGTGGTACCTATTTTTAAAATGTTTCTAATAAAAAAGACTATAATTGTTCAAAGAAAGTCAATTCCAGTAAATTTTTACATGTGTATCTCTTGTAGATTTGAAAAATAAACAAAAATAAAATTATTTTTCTGTGAAATACATCATACTACAAAAGAGTTTATAGAATGAACGTTTATATTTTAAGAATAACAATAAAATCAATACCCACATAAACACAGGAGAAGAAATCAACTACTTACTGTAACTGAAAGGCCTCCCAATTACATTTTCCTCTCTCCATCCCAGAAACAACTACTATATTAATAAGTATAACAGTCATTCCCTTGCCTTTCTTTATAGTTTCATATCATATTTGTATCATTAAGCTATACACTGGTTAGTTTTTCCTGGCCTTGACCGCCACATAAATGCACTTAATTATATGTACAGCTTCTTCGATGACTTGTCTCTTCTCTTCAGCAATATGTGTTTGACATCCAACCATGTCAATGCATATAACTGCAATTCATTCATTTTCACGGCTGCATAGAATTTTATTTTATGAATTAATCGCAACTCATCTATTCTCCTATCAATGGACATTTTTACTGGTTCAAGCTTTTGCCATTATAAACCAAAGCACCATGAACGCTTCTATACATTGTTTCCTATTCACTATGTGCAAGAGTTTATATGTGTAAGAGAAACTATATACATATATACACACATATATATACACATATGTCATTGTTAAACAAATATATATCTAGCAGTGTTATTGCTACATAAAAGAGCATGCAAATTTTCAGTTACATTAGGTAAACTATTTATCAGTTCTGTTGTACCAGTTTATATTAATATCAGCAATGAATAAGAGCTCCTTTTGCACCATGTCCTTGTCAGCACATACTATATTCAGACTTTTAAATTTTGTAGTTGAATGACTGTGAAAAAATCCTTTTTTAACTCAAGGCCAAAAAGATAATCACAGAGTTTTCTAAAAGTTTATGAATTTTTCTTTCACATTTAACTCTTCAATTTATGTAAAATTGATTTTTGTGTCGAGACAAATTTCATTTTTTGCCATGTCTATTCCTGTGCCAGTACTTTACTGTCTAAACTGCTAAAAATGAAAAATTATCCCTTCAGATATGGTCAGACAAGTGCCCCCAAATTATCTTTTTTACCCTTAACGGAGGCACTGGGGGTTGAACCCAGGACCTTGAACATGCCAAGCATGCGTGGAGGTAATTGACATTTTTATAATATCAGATCTTCCTATCCAAGAATATATTTTTCATATATTTATTTTCAGATGTCTTTTGATAGTTTCATTATTTTCTCCATAAAGCACTTGCATACATTTCATCAGATCTACTTCATCTTAAGTATTCTGTAAGTTTCCTTCTATTGTAAAATACGTCTCTTTATTACAGAAGAATAAAATTAGATAGTAAGTGTAACATCTTTTAGATTTGTTGAATGTCTGTAGAAATTGTAGAAGAGATGGAATTAATCTGAGAATTTGGATAGGAGAAAATATGTCCAGGGAAATTAAAGAAAAGATAATGAAAGTATAGAATAGTAGTTGTCAAACTATGACCCAAAGGCCAAATCTGGCCCCTGCGTACTTTTATAAATAAAGTTTTACTGGGACACAGCCATAGCCATTTATTCACATACTGCCGATGACTGCTTCTGATATTACAAAGGCAGGGCTGAATAGCTACAACAGAGATTGCATGGCCCACAAAGATGAAAATATTTACTGTGTGTCCTTTTATAGAAAATGTCTGTAGTTACTGGTCTACAATGTAGAGAAAGGGATGATGAAGTGAGAGAGGAAAAAGCCTTTGGTTTTCTTAAAAATTCTAAGTCACAACAAAAGTTCCTTAAACGCCCGCTAACGTAACTAACCTGGAAGAAATCAGGACCACGTCTGCAGGGAGGAACTGTTCGTTTGTGGCTTTCACAATGTCACCCACATTTACCTTTCAAGCCAGGAGAAAAAAACAGAAGTATGAATTTTAAAAATCACAAAACAGAGGCAAAATGTGTCAAACATTCTCAAGGAAAAGTGTAAGATGAAAATCCTGGAACCGTCCTAGTGAATTTCATCCACATTAGAATAATCTTACCTCCTGATGCATTCATTCCTCTAAAACCGCTGTTCTTAACCAGGGGCTATTCTGCCCGCCCCATCCACCAGGGGACACTGGGCAATGTCTGCAGACAGTTTTGGCTGTCACGACTGTGGAGGTTTTAGGGGAATGTCCTCCATCAGGCACGGAGGGCTATCTCTCCATTTCTGTCTCCTCTGAGTCCCAGGGAGAGGAGGGAAATGCAATCACTACCAACTCTCCTGGTTTATCTCCCTCAGGGGAAGAAACACTGATGATATTTTGAAATCAATACATTCTTACAGTTAGATTTCAAAGGAATTTTACATGAGTCATCAATTAATTATTGATGAGGATGAAGTCAGAATCCAGCTCCTGTATGCCTTTAACTCACATTCCACGGGCAGATATTCACGACAACATTCCCTGAGACAGCCTCCATATAAAGGCCGTCCAGTACCCAGAGCAACAGTTTGTGAACCATCAACTTGAAACTTTCCACACGCTGACGCGCAGGTAGCACTGAGGCACGCTGGAAGGCGTGCAGACTTCCAACCAGACAGACTGACGCTCAGACCCTACTTTTACCACTTTCTGGTCACGTAACCTTGGGCAAGACACTTATTCTCTTTGATCCTCTACCTTCTCATCTACAAAATGGGACAATATGATGGTTCCTGAAGACATATTTTACAGATAAAAACCTGTAACTTTAAATGTGGAAGGTGCTAATTACTAAGTTAAAAGCAAAAATACATTCTTACCTCTTTCCACTGAATCACTTGCCATGCATTCTGTCTTAGCACTGAAAAAGAAACAGCTATGTATTCACTGTAATTATTGCATTAGGTTAAGTCCAAAATAATAAAAGAGACCTCTTCCCCAGAACTACAGGTGTTTCTTTATAAAGTACTGCCTTTGTTAATTTAAGCTTTATGTAATCTGAGAGAGTAATCGTGTTCACATGCACTACACCAACATACAGCAATGTATATCATACAATGTAACATATGATTGATATGATATAAATTTGACAGAGGCTACATTAAGTCACTGCCAATCCCAAAGACAAAACAGTTGGTATTACACACCAAAGCACCAGTGGATAGCCTGCAAAGCAACTTAAGGTGTTTCTGATTAATTACAGAGATTGCACACGTCAGAACAAGGGCTGAGAGAGATTCAGTGGCACGCAGATCTTTCTCGTGGACGTAAGAATTGCTCATACCCCAGGTATCCCATCCTTCCCCTCTTTTTTTTTTCTTTCACTCTAGTTAACGTAATTATTGATTCGAATATACGGAAACGGCTTCCTTCCGTTTTTCATCCTTTGTTTCAATATTTCTTTAAATAATAATCTGTTACAAAACATGTTACCTGTACCTACTTGATGGATCCGGATATTTTCTTCGAGTGAAGGCGTGGGGGAGGGGTAGAGGCTCGAGCTCACCACTTACCTATTGTGCTCTTTGAGTTAACTAATCTGTCTGCCAGATGTCGTTTCTGTTACAGAAAAAAGATCCATTAGATCAGAAGTTTAGAATGAATAATTCGAATCACAATACTAGTCACAGCAGGTTGAAGAAAGAATAGCAGCAGCAGGCCTAACAAACAGTTCCCTCAACTGTGGTGCGGC